TTTCAGCATGTTGTTTATTATGTGGACAAGGTTGTAATGGAGGTTTTCCAACTGCTGCTTGGAATCATTATCGATTTACTGGATTAGTTACTGGTGGAAATTACAATTCGAAACAAGGTTGTGAACCATACACAATTCCTTCATGTGATCATCAGTATATTGCAAATTTGTCGCATACGCTTTGTTTATCTTTATTTTTATTTTTATTTTAGTGTCAATGGATCTCTTCCACCAGTAAGAGAAGTTTTTATCGGAAAGATTGTGTTTGAACATCGATTTGTTTAGTGTCAAGGTGAAGAACCTACTCCCCGTTGTACACACAAATGTATTGATGGTTATCCAACTCCATATGACAAAGATAAACATCATGGTAAAAGTGTTTATTCAGTTCGTTCACAGCAAGAACAAATTCAAACTGAAATTATGAAAAATGGACCTGTCGAAGGTGCTTTTTCAGTTTATGCAGATTTTCTTGCGTATAAATCAGGTGTTTATCAACATACAGCTGGTTCGTTTCTCGGTGGTCATGGTATGTTCATTTTCTTTATATTATCTATATCTTTCATGAATTTCATTATTTTTAGCTATAAAAATTCTTGGTTGGGGTATCGAAAATTCCACACCTTATTGGCTTGTTGCTAATTGTATGTTTAAAGCCAATCGATTTATTGTTGTATATTTGTTTGTTTGTTTTTGCAGCATGGAATGAAGATTGGGGCGATAAAGGTTACTTTAAAATTCTTCGTGGTTCAGATGAATGTGGAATTGAAAGTGGAATCGTTGCTGGTGAACCAAAACTTAATTAAAAATTCCGAGTTTTCTATATCAAACTAATTTGAAATAATAAAATGAAATGAATTTTCTATGAAAAATAGAGTGGAAAACATTGATATATTTACAAGTTTTCCTTTCTCTAAAACAATACGGAATACGGACAAGTACAACATGTATAAAAGAAATGTTTTCTTCTTGTAATATTTATGTTTCATAAATGAATAGATGATCTAACGTCTGATAACTGCCGGCGGTTGATGATTGAAATTTTTTTGCGGGATAACGGTAGTTTGTCGAAATCTAAAAACCGTTTTTTTGAAATCAGGCAGAAAAAATATTGAAAGTATTGGGAGAATCATTTCTAATAAACCCGGGAGAAAAAGAAAAAATTTCATCTGTAAATTCATTGATACTGATGATGATGTGTACATGTAGATGATACTACTAATTGCCAATGGGGACCAAGTAATCACAAAAAATATAGCAATTGACATAAGATATGTGGCCAACTTCCATTTGCGTTTCCAATCTCTGTTTTGATTACGCTTTTGCCATAGTACTCGAACAATCAAAGTCACATTTGCAACAATTATTATGCTTAACGGCACCATTGTATGCATAACAAAGTCGTATAATGCAATTGTTGGTTCGCTGTACATGTAACACGGTAGAAGACAAAATAACTAATGATGAAAAACATATTAATGTAAAAATAACTCGAAAGATTTCACAGAACTTACAAAGTTATAATTCCAATAATCATCACAAGAATGGAAAACAATGATAATCAAATAAAATATGAAAGAGGAAACAATTGCAATGAACATTGGAAGAATATGAAAAAAGAATCTTCTTTTCTTTGTTGCCATAATTGTATTATGAAATATAAGTATATGCCGTTGAATGGAACCACAAGCAGAAACCCAAACCAATGCCGTAGTTAAAGAGTAAACCCACCAATTCCACCATAAACAAAAACTTACTGTTGAAGAAATTACTCTTCTGTGACGATTTTCATACAAAGCAAATGGATGATTACTGATCATATCCACGAAACAGAGAATGACTATTATGAGAGTTAGATGTTGATGAAGTAAAATTTTCTTCCTTTGTCGATAAAAATAAAGAAAAATACAAATTGAACATGGAATAGATATACTCATTAGGATAACCACAATTGAAAATTTCAAATCGTCAAGTCGTGATATTTCATCATCCTTCGCCATGAGTAGATCAGTTTTAGCAATTCTCACGTATATATATTAGAGGAAAAAAAATCAAAGAAGAAAGTAGAATGTCTCACATAATAGAAAACTTAATTTTTATCCTCAGTCCTCAGAAAACGTTTTCTATTTCACAGATACTTTGTGAAAGGATGATTTATATTATTTATTTCTCACGCCATAATCTTCAGTTGATTATCTCATTTCGATGCTTTATTTCAAACTTGACAAAAATCATTCAGAGATGTTTAACAGTTTCGTTGTTTTTCAAGATTTTATCTTTTGCAATGATATTATCAAATCGTTCTTTTTCTAGAATGATAACTATATATCTCATAGATCAAGCAATCTCTTGAAAAAACACTTATAAAATCTTCACATTTTATATCATAAATAATTGTAACGAGAAAGATTTAAGTGCTTTCTTTTATTTATGACAAAGTACCTTTAAGAAGTACTTTCTAGATATTAAAAAAAGTATTAAAGTTCAACACTTTTGGTGATTGAATATATTCTCATAATATGACTGGTATCGATATCACGAAAAAGAAAATGTAAAAAGGGTCCAATTGTCATATTAGTTTCGTAAACGTCTTAGTTCTCAATGAAAGCAATATGATCATTTATTTCATTTCAATCGATTTTTCTTTGTTTCCCAAAATAGAATTCTCTCAAGTCAAATATGGACGAGTAATTCATCAGGCAAATAAAACACGTCTTATATGAACAGAAATTGATTATGTTCATGTGTATGTAATGGATTTTCTAATCTAAGAACTTGGATTTTTCTCTCTGTAGTTTTCAAAATATTCTTTTTCATACATCTTTAAGACATGATGAACTATTTTCCTACTATATAAATAATTGTAACAACTTGAATAGTTTTAAACATAGACAAATCTCTTTTTTACTCAAATAAATGTTCAAACAAAGTACGTCCAATGTTTTAAATATTGATATGTTACCTAAAAGCTTTTTTACTAAGTATGTCCCGTCCATGAAAACGACACCATTCGATGCAGAATTTAATTTCAGTTAAGAATTCTATTATGAATAATTAAAGTTCATCAAGAAGAAGAATTTTGATAATCATATGAATTTATTTCTAAATTATATTTGATTAATTCAATGAGAAAAAGAATTCGAAGTAAAACTTGATGTTTTTTTCGTTACAAAAGTTTGAAATATTCGTACAAATGTTGTGTTTATTTCAAAACAAGTCTAAATAGTAAAATGAATTTTTTAAAAATAACTTTCAAGAAAATCTCCATATTTCGCTGACAAATACATCGATGCAACACCTATAATAACTCCAAGATTTTGTGTTAATAAAATTTTCATTTTCAATATTCTTGTTATTGGTTTATTTTCTTTTAAAGTATCTTTTTCAATTTCCTCTCCCATAGAAATCAATTCAGGAATCTAATTCAAAATGAAAAGTCAAATAAAGAACATTATTATCGTCGAATTTCTTTACCATATCTGCTAATCCAATGTAAACGAACATTCCTCCAGCTAAAGCGCAGATCCAAGGATGAAAATTTTCTAATTCTCCTAATTTAGCTCCAACAAGAAATCCTGGATAAATTCCACATGCAGATATGAAATTCATCAACAAAGCCTGTTTTATTGGAAGACCACTACTCAACAAAATCGCTGTNTATGTGGACAAGGTTGTAATGGAGGTTTTCCAACTGCTGCTTGGAATCATTATCGATTTACTGGATTAGTTACTGGTGGAAATTACAATTCGAAACAAGGTTGTGAACCATACACAATTCCATCATGTGATCATCAGTATATTGCAAATTTGTCGCATATGCTTTGTTTATCTTTATTTTTATTTTTATTTTAGTGTCAATGGATCTCTTCCACCAGTAAGAAAAGATTTGATTGGAAAAATTGTGTTTGACTATCGATTTGTTTAGTGTCAAGGTGAAGAACCAACTCCACATTGTACACACAAATGTATTGATGGTTATCCAACTCCATATGATAAAGATAAACATCATGGTAAAAGTGTTTATTCAGTTCGTTCACATCAAGAACAAATTCAAACTGAGATTATGAAAAATGGACCTGTCGAAGGTGCATTTTCAGTTTATGCAGATTTTCTTGCGTATAAATCAGGTGTTTATCAACATACAGCTGGTTCTTTTCTCGGTGGTCATGGTATGTTTATTTTTTCTATGTTCTCTACATCTTTCATGAATTTCATTATTTTTAGCCATAAAAATTCTCGGTTGGGGTGTAGAAAATTCCACACCTTATTGGCTTGTTGCTAATTGTATGTTTGAAGCCAATTGATTTATTTTTGTATATCGTTTGTTTTCTTTTTTGTTTTGTAGCATGGAATGAAGATTGGGGCGACAAAGGTTATTTTAAAATTCTTCGTGGTTCAGATGAATGTGGAATTGAAAGTGGAATCGTTGCTGGTGAACCAAAACTTAATTAAAAATTCCGAGTTTTCTATATCAAACTAATTTGAAATAATAAAATGAAATGAATTTTCTATGAAAAATAGAGTGGAAAACATTGATATATTTACACGCAATTTATATTTTTACAATTTTTCCTTTCTCTAAAACAATACGGACAAGTACAACATACATAAAAGAAATGTTTTCTTCTTGTAATATTTATGTTTCATAAGCGAATAGATGATCTAATGTCTGATAACTGCCGATGTTTGATGATTCAAATTTTGCGGGATAACGGTAGTTTGTCAAAATATACAAACAGTTTTTTTGAAATCAGGTAGAAAAAAAACATTGAAATTATTGGGAGAATCATTTCCAATAAACTCGGAAGAAAAAAGAAACATTTCATCTGTAAATTCATTGTAGATGATACGATTAATTGCCAATGGGAACCAAATAATCACAAAAAATATAGCAATTGACATAAAATATGTGGCCAACTTCCATTTGCAACAATTATTATGCTTAACGACACCATTGTATGCATAACAAAGTCATATAATGCAACTGTAGGTTCGTTGTATATGTAACACGATAGAAGACAAAATAACTAATGACGAAACATATTAATGTAAAAATAGTTCGAAAGATTTCACAAAAATGGAAAACAATGATAATCAAATAGAATACGAAAGAGGAAACAATTGCAATGAACATTGAAAGAATATGAAGAAAGAATCTTCTTTTCTTTGTTGCTATGATTGTATTATGAAATATAAATATATACCATTCAATGGAACCACAAGTAGAAGTCCATATCAATGCAGTAGTTAAAGAGTAAACTCATCAATTCCACCATAAACAGAAACTTATCGTTTAAAGAAGTCACTCTTCTGTGATGATTTTCAAACAAAGCAATTGGATAATTAATGATCATATCGCGTGAAAACAAAGAATGACTATTGTGAGAGTTAGATGTTAATGAATTAAAATTTTCTTCCTTTGTCGATAAAAATACAAATTGAATATGGAATAGATATACTCAATAGAATAATCACAATTGAAAATTTTACATCTTCAAGTCGTGATATTTCATTATCCTTCGCCATGGGTAAATCAGTTTTAGCAATATAATAATATATACAGTCTTCTCACGTATATATATATTAGACAAAAATAATTACGTCTCATATGTTTTCAAATATCGATGTGAAGCTAGAACGAACCAACGATATGTTAGATAAAAACTTTTTTACTAAGTATATGTCCCGTCCATGAAAACTACACCATTCGACTCAGAATTAAATTTCAGTTAATAATTTCAATCTAAACAAATAAAAAGAAAATATAAATCTGTTGTACAAAAATATTCAATTTTTCATTATGAATGATTAAAGTTCATCAAGAAGAAGAATTTTGATAGAAAAATCAATAATCATCTAAATTTATTTTTCTAAATTATATTTTTATTAATTCAATGAGAAAAATAATCAGAACTAAAACTTGATGTTTTTTTTTTGTTACACAAGTTTGAAATATTCGTACAAATGTTGTGTTTATTTCAAAACAAGTCTAAATAATAAAGTGAATTTTTTTAAAAATAACTTTCAAGAAAATCTCCATATTTTGCTGATAAATACATCGATGCAACACCTGTAATAACTCCAAGATTTTGTGTTAATAAAATTTTCGTTTTCAATATTCTTGATATTGGTTTGTTTTCTTTTAAAGTATCTTTTTCAATTTCCTCTCCCATAGAAATCAATTCAGGAATCTAATCAAAATAAAAAATTCAAATAAATAATATTTTCATTATAGAATTTCTTTACCATATCTGCTAATCCAATATAAACAAACATTCCTCCAGCTAAAGCACAAATCCAAGGATGAAAATTTTCTAATTCTCCTAATTTAGCTCCAATAAAAAATCCTGGATAAATTCCACATGCAGATATGAAATTCATCAACAAAGCCTGTTTTATTGGAAGACCACTACTCAACAAAATCGCTGTATCGCCTAAAATTCATTCAAATGATTTGCATTTTAACATTTTCCTTTCCTTTTTTGTTACCAAGTTTATGAGAAAATTCTTCACAAACGATTGAAATTGTCATTCGAAGACAATTACTGATTGAAACCATTGCAATAGCACCAATGGTTAATCCATCAATAAATCCATGAAGAGTATCACCAATTAATATCATCCATCCAATTGGTTTCATTTGTTGGAGATTTTCTTTCAAACTTTTTGTATTTTTCTGATGAAGAATTGGCTTTCAAACAAAAACAAAAGAGAATTTCAGATAAGATCACTTCTTCATGTCAAAGATTTCTTTTGTTAATTTTAATCGAATCTTCTTCTAAAAATAAACGTACCGAAATATCTTCATCAACATGATCATGTGTTGGAATTGTCTAAATCATTTACAAAAATTAGAAATGAAGGAGAAATGAAATGTATCAAACCGTTTGAATATGAAAAAATATCGTTGATAATTGATCACGCATAAAAAATAAATATATAATTATTAATCCTACAAGACCTTTATTAATAAATGTTGATTCTTTATCATAAGATTCAACATCAAATCCCTTTGGAAAATACAAAATCAAATTCGGTTTTTTTTCTCCAATGAAAAACAATTCATTTACCATTGGAATTAAATGAAATATTCCTGTTCCAAGAAGTGTCCCTACCGCTATTCGAACAGCAAATTAAGTTGATTTTATCCGAAAATCGAATCTTACCTAAACCAATAAACGAGGATAAAATCCATTTGAAGATCGGCTTTTTTCGAAAAGGTAAAATAATGGCACCAAATAAAGCAGTTAAATTAATCAAAGTCACTGAGATTAAACCAAATAGAAAATCTTTAAAGAAGAAAAACAATTCTTTGTTTGTTTTTAATTTATTAAATCAACAAACGTTTCCATTTTGATGATTCTCGAATTTTATGACACGATGGATTCAATTTCATTGTGGCTAAAATCGGTGTTAAACGCTGAAGATCTTCTTTTGATAAACTTGAATTTTCATTTAAATGAAATTTGTTCAATATTTCATTTGACGATGAAAAACACTTGAAGAGAAAAAAGGAAAATTTTCAAATCGAATGAAACAACAAAAGTCTTTGTTACTTGATTGGAATCATTTGCTTGATTTTGATTTTGTTGTTTATCGTGTTCATCTGATTGAATTAATTTTTCGTAAAATAATTTCAAATTCGTCGAATCTTTCAAATGAGAATAAAGTAAATTTTCTTCCAAAGAATTTAATCGATCATTTTTAGTCGAAATAACATTCGAATCAATAAGAATAAGAAGAATCGTCAATAATCTTATCATCTAAATAGATTTTCTCGTTTAATTCAAATAATCAAATTCGACTTTTGAAAACGAAATTTCTCTTTTCATAAATACTTTGACGTAAGAGAAGAGAAGAGAAAGTAACTTGTCGATATGTATAAAGATTGAATGAATCGATAACAAACGTGTCATTTATGTTCGTTTCATCGAACCTTTCTTTTTCTCTCATCGGATCTCAAGCGTAAAAAACATAACACATACGAAATATGTGCTTATTTCATTTTCGGATATTCTCTTCGATTTATTTGAAAGAAAATTGTTTTTTCGGAATCCTTTTAAGAAACAAAAAAAAACGAAGTCATTTTTTGTTGAATATTATTGTGAATAATCATCCATAGGATCGTACCGATAATTCATTTCGTTTGTTCGTTTATGACTTGATGTTATTCGATGACATGAACAAACACTGATTAATGGCATTTGTTCATTCATACGGGAACAATAAGTAATGCAATAATGACTTAAATCCCAAACAAAACGACCTTCAATATGTTCAATTTGTAAACATATCGAATATAAAGCAAAAACAATGATGAAAGTTTTCAATGAGAAATTCATTGTCATTTGTTGATTTCTAAAAGAAATCGAAGAAGTTTTCTTTGAGATATTTTTCCTAAGAAATCTTACTTTGTGTTGGTTTTTCTCTCGATTTTTGAATGATATGAAATGAAAAGATCTTGATTAACTTTATATAGACATCGGAATTCGATTGATTTTGTAAGGAAATTTGATATTTCCTGAAAGAAAATACGTCATCTATCTCGAAATGTCAAATCAATTAATAGAAATCCATTGAAATCTTGACAAATGAAGTAGATGCTAAACAAGTTCTTCTAATCGTTAAACAAAAGATTCATCGATCTTTTCTTTTCTTTTCTCTTCTATCGAAATATCCAAACATTTTGGAATGTTAAATTGAAGAAAAGATAAGAAAAAGAAATGTTTTACATTCTTTTCATTTGTAAGAATGATTCAATTACGGTTACTTTCTTTGTTTGTCTTATTTCAATATTCTTTTGCAAATCAATGTATTTATTTGATTATTAAATCTGATAATACAACTGATAGATGTCTTAATTCTAATTGTTCACAATTTCTTGATATTAAATCATTGATTGTTCAACCCAAAATATGTAAAACTGATCAATTATCTTTTGCATTTTCATCCTACAAAACATTTGTTACATTTCGTCATGGACTTGGATGGAGATTGGGTGATTTATTTCATTCGGAATTTAATTCTCATGTGAATCGTCAATTGATTTTGTATTTGAATGAAATAAATGAAGATGATCAACCATTTGATTATAAAGAATTAATTCATTTAGGAATTTATTTGGATTTTTATATTATTTTCGTTAAAAATTATTCGGAATGGATAATGTCAAAATTGAAATTGTGAGTTCAAATTCTTTTTTTCCTCATTTATTTCTGCGATTTGTTCTTAGTCGATGTTTGAAATTCAGTGGATTTGATAAATATCCATGTACAAGTCAAATTCTTTCACCTTTACGTTGGATTTCTCATCAACAATCGAGATTTTCGACAACAGAAATGATTTCAACAACAGAAAACATCCGAAAAGAAATCAAATCATCGACGAATTTTATTTTATTTGTAAGAAAAACCAAATTTATTCAGATAAAAATCGATTTGTTTCCAAAAGATTTGTCTTTCGTTATGTAGTCTTTTCATAATCTTTATTTTCATTTGGAAATATTTAATTCATCGTCGAGCAATTCTTTCTGAACCTTCAATTGAAAAGTATTTCTTTGATTTTCTTGAAAAAAAGCCTTCAATGGATCATTTTAGAGTATCTTCAATATCTACGATAACAATCGATCGAAGAGAATCATTTAATCATCATCAATCAATGGTTTTAGAGACAAATTCTGTTGAAAGAGAACAAGAATTTGTTTTAGTTTCATCTACAAATTGTTTTTGAAAAAACGTTTTTTTGAAATAAAATTTTCTTTTTAATCAATGACATCTTCATTAAAGAATTTCATTCGATTTCCAATCTTTATCACTCGAATGTGCATTTCATTCGTTCTTTGGATCGAAGATTATTTCGAATTGAAAGAAAATGTTTCCAAGAATTTCCAATATTCATGAAGAATTCGTTAAATCAGCAGCGAATAGTAAACTTTTTCTCGAATTTTCTTTCTTATTTTCATTCGAAATGTTTTCTTAGATGATCTGAGACAAATCAAAGATTTGTTAAAATATCGAAATGTTAATATCAATGGTATTTTTGCAGGACATACAGCTCTACAAGCAGCTGCTCAGAATGGAAATTTGGAAATTGTTCATTTTCTTATTGAAAATCGTGCAAATTTAGAAATTGAAGTAAAAGATGTCTTTTTGTTAAAGATATTCTATTTGTTTTCAAAGGATAAAGATGGTGATCGAGCGATTCATCATGCTGCATTTGGAAATGAAGCGAAAATCTTAGATTTACTTATAAAATCAGGTGCAGATATCAATGCAAGAAATAAACGTCGACAAACAGCATTACACATCGGTAAATTTCGATTTCTGATCAAGATTTTCATTTCGAAATCCATTTCAGGTGTTTGTAAAAATCATATCGATGTTTGTAAAGTTCTTCTTTTAAATGGTTCTCATTTGGGAATTCAAGATTTTCAAGGTGATACACCTTTACACGATACCATTTCAAAAAAACATGATGAATTAACAAAACTTCTATTGGATTCGAATGCTGATGTTACAATAAGAAATAATGAAGATTTTAATTCAATTCATTATTCAGTTTTATGTGGAAATTTAACGTAAGAGAAGAATTTTTGTTAAAAGAGAATTTCATTGTTTTATTTGATTTAGTGCACTTGAATTGATTCTTTCGAAAATTGAAAGTCGTCAATGGATTTTAAATGAGAAGAAAAATGATGGATTTACATGTTTACATTTAGCTGCATTGAATGGTCATTTTCTCATTGTTGATTTACTTTTAAATAAAGGAAATGTTTCAATTGATGAACAAAATCTTCATTTACAAACAGCTCTTCATTTAGCTGTTACTCGACAAGATCTACAAATTGTTAATGTAAAGAAAAAAATGATCAATTTTCATTTGATTTCATTTCGTTTTTTCTTCTAGTTGATCTGTAAGAAAAATGCAAATGTGAATTTAATTGATAAAGATGGAGATACGTGTTTACATGAAGCATTGAGACATCACACATTAACACAATTGAAACAATTACAAGAAGAAGCACAAAATAGAAAAGTTTGGAGAAAATGTTGAAATTTCAATTGATTGAAGAGATTTTTTAGATGAAAAATATTTTTTCAAATCTGACGAATTATGATAAACGACCAAGTGTTGAAATTAGTTGTTTATTAATTATGTCGGGAGCTGATTTAACAATTAAAAATAAAAAGAATCAAACACCATTTGATCTCTGTTCCGATTCCCATTTATGTCGAATGTTAACACAAAAGAATATGTAAATTAACTTGAAATAGTTTCTATTTGACATTGTTTTCTTCTATTTAAAGAGAATATCAAAAGAAAGAGAAAAGGAATGAGAATTTTCTCGAATGTCTCATCTGTTCAGATCATTCACGTGATACAATATTTTATCCGTGTTTACATATTGTTACATGTCATTCATGTGCTAATCGGATGAAAAAATGTTTATTATGCAAAGAGAAAATTCAAACAAAAACGAAAGTAAAAATTTTATCGATGATGACTTTGCATTGGAAATATTCATTTTTAGATTGAACAATGTAAAATTTGTTCGAAAAGAAAAGCATCGGTCGCCTATAAACCTTGTGGACATTTCATTGCGTGTGAAAGTAAATCGAGAATTCATTGGAAATTCTTTCTCTTCAGTCATCTTTGTTTTAGATTGTGTCGATTTGAAAAAACAATGTTTAATTTGTCGACAAACGATTGATTTAATTGTACCATTTAAACAATTGTGTGTGGAAAAAAATGACATTGCTTCGACAAAGTCGGAAGTGATGACAGGATTATCAAATGATACGATGACTTTGGCGAGTTTAAAACAACAATTAGAAGAAATTCGTGAACAAGTTCATTGTCCAATCTGTATGGATCGATTGAAAGATATGATCTTTTTATGTGGACATGGAGTTTGTCAAAATTGTGGAAATCGTGTCAAAGAATGTCCAATTTGTCGAAAACAAATTGAAAAATCAATTATTTTATACACATAATCAGAGAGAGAGAGAAATTCGTACAGACAATTATCATTATTTTTCAATAATTAAGAAAAAAGAATCAATTATTCAATAGGAAAAGAAGTCATTTCATATTCTTAGAATCTCGTCAATAAAATTCTTTGTTACAATCAATTGAAGTTTTCTAAAAAAAGAACAATCGATTTAGGTCTATAATACAATGGAACAAATAATTCTATTCAATGTAGAAATTAATTATTTTGTTTTGTTCATGGATAGATCCACAAGATGTTCTCATCATAAGTAAATCAGAAAAAATATAAAGTACAGTGACATCTATATGTGAAAGAGTTGTATTGCTCAATGATTAATCTCCAATAATAAATAATGCCAGAGAAAAGAAGAAAAAACACAGATCATCATAGTTTTCGAAAATCATAATCAATTGAAGAAAATGGCAGCAAATAATTCTCAAGGTGGTCGATATCGATCTGATCATGAAATTGAAAAATATCGTTTAGAACTCAATTGGACAAAAATTCTCGATAAATTAAAAACATCGAAAGTTTCAGGTTTGAACTGTTTTTCGTCTTTTGACAAACTTTTGTTTCATACATTCATTTGAAATATTCATAGAATACGCAAAATTCTTGGAAGGAGAAGCTCAATTAGAATTATATTTACAACAATATCCATTAACTGATTCTCATTATATTGAAAATGCAAGAGAATCTTTAACTCGTGTTGAGAATCTTTTAAAATCAGGTGGATTATGTCGAACATTCGAAGGACAATGTTTATTAGCTAAATTATATTATGCACAAGGACGTTTTGATGAATGTTTAACAAGTGTTGATTTAGCAATTAATTCAATACCGAATGAAGATGAAGAAGAACCACATCGATCATCTTTATTATTAGCTGAAGTTTATTCACTTAAAGGTCTTTTATTAGAGAAAAAAGATGAAGAATTATTCGATATTATCAAAGCATTTGATGATTCGTGTAAACTAAGTAAAACATACTACGCAGAAGTTGAAAAAGCCAAAAATTTAAGTAATGAAAATTTGGATATTGAAAATTCATTAATTGAAATAGCTTATCAACGTTTACCACTTTTACACGCAGCAAATAAGTAATTTTCTCTTTCTCTCTTTTCGATTTAATATATGTTTGTGTGTCATTTAGTAATGTAGCAACAGCAATTGAAATTTTTCGTTCGTACATACAGAATGTTCATATCAAATCATTGGAAACAATGCGACAAGTCTGACTTTTCTTAAAGAAATAAAATTTCCTTTGAAAATGTTCTTTAGACATTGATAAAACAATATGCACAATTATTAATAAAATGTGTTTGTAAAGGAAATTATCCTCCAATCAATGGAGATTCCAATGATCATCATCATCACCATCATCATTTTCTTCCTCATCGTCGAAATTCTCAGTAAACATTTGTTCAAAAAGAAAAACAAAACATCGAAGAAATGATATTTCTTTAGACCATTATTTGTTCCTCGAGATGTTGATGAAGAAATTTTACTTTTATTATTATTGGGCCAATCAGCAACATTAAATGAAGCGGTACTCGATTGGCAACCTGAATACGAAGCACAACGAGAACGAAGTCATCAAGCTGCTTACAATATTCTTTCACTTTTAGCGATATTTTTATCTCGTAAACAAGCATTTCATTTAATTGCAGAAGTAAATTATTTAAACAAATCTTTTTTCGAATTCTTTTCTTTTCATTTTTGTTTCTCAAAAGTCTTATGAACAAGCACTTCGATTTTCTTTTGAACATTTTCAAACTTGGTATAATTACGGTTTAGCATTAATTTCATCCGGTCAATCATTTCGAGCATATCTAATTTTGAAAGAATGTCTTCGAATGCAACCACAAAATATTCAAGTTTATTTACAACTTTCAAAAATTATTCTTCAATATATTTACGATGTTTGTTTGCATATCTCGTTTCAAAATATTTTCTTTTGTTTTTTCTTTGTTCAGGTTCCTTCGTTATTTGAAACATTTCCATCAAGTGGTGAAGATGTTCAACCATTAATAAAACAAACATTGAATCAACAACAACAAAATCAATTCGAACAACGACCACCATTTCTTGATTTAGTATATTTTTCAATTTTCAATTTGTGAAATTTATCTTTTTTCTTTTGATCATAAAAAGATTGATGAAGCGATCAATTATTGTCAACAAGCAAAAGAATTACAAAATCCTCCATTTCCTCGATCGTTACTTCTTCTTGCTTTGGCTCAATCATTCAAAGCTCGTCAAACATCGATTCATCAAGATCGACAAAAATTATTTCAATCAGCGATTAAAGAACTTCGAGAGTAATCTCACTTTTGATTATCTCTTTCATCAATCTTTTCCATTTATTTTCAATAGATGTGTTGAATTAGATCCATATGATTCAATTGCACATTTTCATTTAGCACAGAATTTATCTTTTCTCAATCAAGTTTGTTCTTTTCAATGGAATTTCACATTCCAAATCTTTTGTTTTTCTTTCCTTTGAATAGACCGATGAAGCATTGAAATCCATTGAAACTTGTTTATTGTTATCACCCGATGATAAACACGCACTTCATCTTCACACACTTCTATTAACCGCAAAGAAACAAATTCCCGAAGCTTATGCACAAATTTATCGTGCAACAAATGATTATCCTGACATAAAGTATGTACAAAGAGAAAGTCTCAAATTCAACTCAAATTTACCATTTCTTTCTTTAGTTTATTGTTAACAAAAGCATCGATTGAAGAAGAATTATATGGATGTGAACAATCCATTGTAACTTGTAAAGAAGCTTTAATTTTATGGAAAACTGAAATTGAACCATTGTTAATGACTAATTCTCATCATACTCGAGGAATTTCTCATTCAAGGTAAAAAGAAAAGACACAAAATATGAAACGAAAATCGTTTTATTTTGATTTAGTGCTGGAAATCGTACAATTGGTCAATCACAAAATCCTTCGATTAATACTGAAGGTGAAATTGAACAAAATCCAACTGGTGTATTGAAAGTTGAAGATGGAATTAAAAATTTATTATTATTAAATGTTCGAACTTCATCTGGATTAGTTAATGATGAAAATTTTCTTTCAAATAATCGTTCTTCAACTTCATTATTCTCAATTCAACCGGTTTATTTTAATTTAATTCAAATTTTTGAACATCTTGGTAGGAAAACTTTCTTAATCGAAATATTTGTTTGTTTTTATCTTGATATTTTAGTTCGATATTACATAAAATTAGATAAAATTGATGAAAGTGAACGTTGTTTAAAAGAAATTTCCCCATTAAGTCCATTTTGTCATCAAATGTTTTATCTGCGTGGATTAATTTACAATGCTCGTGGACAATTAAAATTAGCCAAACAAAATTATAATGATGCTCTGGCGATCAATCCTTTTCATTATCCAACATTAATTCAATTAACAAAACTTTTAATTCAAATTGGAAATTATTCTTTAGCTGAAAAATATGCACGGGATGCTATTTCAATTCAACCATCAAATTATCAGCCTTGGTAAGAAGAGAACTTCATTGCTTTGCTAATCGAATAAAGTTATTTATTTTTATTCAAAAGGTATTTATTAAGTTTATCAATGGAAGCTCGTGGTGAATACGAACAATCGGTTGATGTTGGTGCAACAGCTGTGCATTTAGAAGGAGACTCACCTATTGTTTCTTATCATTCGATTATCCGAGTACTCTAGTCACATTTTCTTTTTTCTTTCTCGTTTGATATTAATTATATTTATTATGAGATAAACGTAAATAATGTCCGGGTAAAAGTGTATCGTAGATATCTGATTGATTTTCATGTTTTCCATATGATAGTGTACGATTTTGATTGATTGGAGGACGAGTTGAAGAGAAATTAGCGAGAGGTTCGTACGGAGGCGCAGGCTGAAATTAAAAACAAGATTTTGGGAAGTGAAAATATAAGAAATTATTCGTTAGGACGTACAGGAATAGCAGCAGGTTTTGCTGCTGTGGTTTTTGACGACGACGATGATGATGATGATGAGCCAGATGATGGTCTTCGAACTTGCTGTTGCGGTTTAATTGTAGGTGGAGGAATTTGTGGGCGTCGTGTATAAGTATGTTTTAATGATGGATCGATTTCACTTGGTTTCAGTGGCTGTTCACGTTGAGTTGGTGAACGACGTTCGAGAGCTTCTTTTACGGCATTGACTACATTCTGATAAACAAGTTGATTCGGATGCGGCTTCGGATGTGGTCGATCTTGTGGAAATACTGATGGTTGATAAGGACTTTCATAAGAACCCCATGGTGGATACATCGCTGGAGGTGGATTGGGTCGATTTCGTTGATCTTGAACATATTCTTCCATGACACGACGAATACCTTGTAGTTCTCGTAAAAGAATTAAATCCGTATTTGATCCACGTGGATCCGACAGCGGTCTGTGAACTGCTGGTATTGATATTGCTGCTGAAGATGAGGATGAAGAATGAGATAAACGACGTGACGGTGGTTTCTTTTGAAATTGAGTTCGATGTTTTTTACTTAGATGTTGAGACTGATGAGAAGAAGAAGAATCGTCTGAATGAGTTCTATGACGATGTTTATGTAATAGTCCATGTGAGTAAGCAAAATCTTCCATTGCAGCAGCAAAATAAGGATCATTTTCAATTAGTTCTGCAATCTCAGCTTGATCATCATCACGTTCTAAATCATGAAAGGATTTCTTTGCTCGTTTTTTCGAAAAATGAGATGCTGAAGAAGGTATTGTCGGCGTTTCTTGTTCCCGTTGCTGTTGTTGTCCTGCCTGTTGACCTTGCTCTAGTATATGCCGCTGCATATTGAGTAAATGCTGTTGAAAAGCCTCTTGCTGTTGTTGAACTTGTCTCAATTCTTCTTCTGTCAAAGGTCGATGCATATCTTCCTGTGTAGTCGTCGTCGTCGTCGCCGCATCAATGATATTATTAGCAGTAATAATTGGTGGGCCATTGTGCTCTTCAACTACCTAGAACAATGAAAGTGCTTCAAGTACATATGAACAGAGATATATGGACCTCTGATATAGGTTCAGGTCTCCTTGATATTCTTCGCTCCATTTCTTCATTGGTGGCTTCCAATGTTGGTAAACGTGAAGTCAGATTCAATGGTGGAACCGGAATCTGTTGATTAATTCCATATTTAGGTTGACTATGTAACGAAGGAACAAGTTGAGGTCGATTGGTAATTGGCATTTGATCTAACGTTGCCACTCGAACCAACCGTGGCGTATGTCGATGATGTTTTCGACGTTGTCGTGGTAAACATGATGTAATAGCATGATGACCATTTAACAATTGATTTGCATAATCTACACTGTAGTTATGATAGTAGACATCATAGTCATCGTCATCAGATAAACAATCATCGTAGTAATCGTCGTAGTAGCTCATCACTTCGTAATGATATCGACTATGAAAAACAAATGCCCATGAGACACCACGTTGGCGGCGTAGCGCGAAGGTTTTTTTTCTTTTTCTCAATGTATACAAGGTTTTTTTTTCATTGGAAGAATATTTGTCATCGAAATGGTATGCAATATTCGATCGACTATTTATCATTGAATCATTTTGTAACAAATTTCCTTTTTCGCTCTCAATAAAATGCATGTATATTAGTAATATTTTATTATTTCTCATCATCATTGAAAACTTATGTAGATAGTATTCCAAATATCATCGAATATTCTCAAATCAGTATTGCGGATTTAATCCTAGTACGCCAAAGTTGTCCATCTTTGACTCATGCCGGAAATCTATGCAACTTCTGTTATGTGTGGAAGGAATCGAAGGTTTACTATCATGATATGTTCTCTACGAAATAGATCGAAAACTATGCAACTTGAATTCAGAGAATAATTATGTCACAAGCTTTGAAAAGCTCGGACGTAGAAACACAAAAGTCAATCAAGTTTCCTTTTTAGTTATAGATATGAGTTTTAGAGAACTCATTCCTGGAGTACATTTGTCTGTCATTTAAAATTGTTGCAAGAAACACCACCGAAAGTCCGAAGAGAAAGCATGGTACAAATTTTCCACGAGATAATGCTACTGGCAGCCACATGTTATCGTTTGTTATTTGTTTTAGTAAATAGAAAGATTTTGTGTTCGCAAGAAGTAGAAAGATATTCGAAGAAAAGACAGCCACCTTTTCATTTTTATTTTCTTTACGACGCGCGACGCAATTGCATATATGACGGTTATTCCGGCCGGCCGAGTCCTTTATATTTGTTTGTCCGATCACTATGCATCTTTTCAGACGTATAAACAGTCGAGGAATTCACATGAGCCACTAACATAATCGACTTTTACCAGTAAACACTCCTTTGTGTTATCCACACTGTAACGAAGAGTTCGTCCGAAAATGACGCAGACCCAGGCACGCGAATTGACAAATGCGAACGTAAAAACGGAATCAGTCTACCCTATAGACATATCCACCATCGTCAAGACTGAAGAAATTACATCAAACGAGAAAATCACGGTGAGAAGTTTTGAAATTAATAATTCTATCAACATGTTCGTCGTTTTTAGGTCTTGAGTCCCAGGACGATGATTCCTGAAGCAGGATTCCATGAATTTCCGACTAAATTCCTAAGGAAATTCGCCATATCTGAGCGGAGCTCGCCCGGAAAATGCCAGGAATTCGATGGAGAAATGCGGTAACCGTTTCCGGCTATCGGTTTTGACATGCTCCTGTCGGTTCCGGTCCACACCAGATAAATCCGGCTATCGGATCCGCTCATCGGGAATACTGCTTCCATGAAATCTCCGGAATGCCGCGGAACCGGCCGTTTCGGTGCCGGATTGTTCGACCTGGGATATGCTTATCCCAAACGCCGTATCATCCAACAAACTGATCCAGTACTATACGGAACGCATCCGAATCCAAGTCAAGGAGCGCCGTTTTGAAGGTATGTGGTGTGTTAGCCTTGATCAAGTGTCGCCTCTCCAGGTCAACAAATCCGATCGGATTCCTGGAACCGGAATTGCATTGGAATCCGTCTGGAAAAATTCCGTCGATTATTGCAAATTTTATGAGCGATCTTTTTAGCTATATTCTATGATGACCCTTAGAAAATTCGGAAAACTCATCTTTCGGATCCGAGTACGGGATTGATCGACCTGGGTCTAAAAGTTAAATTTAGACGTGTTGGAAACATTTGGTATTTTGAATGAAGAAATGCTCATTATGAAATGGTAAGTTACGTCATTCAACTTATGACACTTGCGTGCGTGCGCTTTCTGTTTTGTTAAGGGTATCAGCGATTCATCTTGATATGAACAAGGTCAAAAGATTGATTAATCAGAGACTAGCACACAGCTGTAAGTAATCTTTCTTTCTGCGCAACAGATTAAAAATATTTTCTTTTTTAGTTGACGATCACCTGGCTCAAGCCGTTCAATTGCTCAACATCGTTGATCAAGCGAAATCTAAGATAGAAAAATTAATGAGAAGTAATTTTGTATATATTCTCTGATATGTTTGCAGCGATGAATTTGTTTTTCAGTGGAACAAATGAACATTTCGTTCACAAAGTGAAGCAATACAAATGACCAAGCCAGCGGCAAACCCAGGACGATGATTCCTGAAGCAGTATTCCATGAATTTCCGACAAAATCCCTGAGGAAACTCGGCATTTCTGAGCGGAATCCGATGGAGAAAAGCGGTAACCATTTCCGGCTACCGGTTTTGACATGTTTCTGTCGGTTCCGGTCCAAACTCGATAAATTCGGTCACCGGATCCGCTCATCGGGAATACCATGGAACGGGCCGTTTCCGTGCCGGATTGTTCGACCTGGGAAGGTGTTTTCCTCATTTGTTTTCCTGTTTGCTATGTATCGGTTGAGTTTAATTTTGTAGTATTTTCAATCATTTGTAAATAAAGTGATTTTATCATTGAGATAATGATAAAACAGAGTAATTGACTCATAGAAAACAATGTCGGTTTTGTATTACATATATCAATTGAAAAGAAACAAACAGAAAACAGAAGAAATAAATAATAAACCTTTTAGTCTAAACGTGTACTATAGTTGATCAACATTTTCGAATAAAGAGCCAAATGCATTGTGCAAATCATCATAATAGATTTGCTGGATTTCTTTTATAGTATGTTCACCAAGTACAAGAAGATTGATTAGAATTGTTGACGAGAATTGATTTTGTGTTTCTTGTTTGATTTTTTCCATATCAACTTTCGCATCAAGGCCATCTGGATTTTTCGCTCTTTTCCAATTTCGTATTCGTGCTAATCGTTCAATTTCCTTTCCATCAGGCTCTTCATATTTTTCTAAGAAGAATTTATGGGAATCTTTTACTTTACATAGAAGTTCTCCTTTAAAATAAGATTCGAATAAGTTTGTTAATTGGTGTGCACTGCTGAATGTATGAAAATACTTTCTTCGATCATCTTGCTTAAGTTGTTGTTCAGCTGTTTCATAGACAAAAAGATATTTTCCATCATTGAAATATAAAGCTTCAAATGGAATGGAAGAGTCGAAATCACAAATAAGAACACGACATTGTTCAATTAAACTTAATGTATTTGTTTGTTGATCTGAAATGATATTTTTCGAATTGAATAATTCATTCGCATGTTTTCGTTCTAAATCACTCAAATTAAATAAAGGATTATCAAAATTGTCATTCGATGGATATGTCAAAGGATGTAGCTTGATTGCGTATTCAAACTGAAATGATAAAATAAGTTGAATAATTTCAGGATTTGATAAGAGACTAAAAGGTGCTTGTTCTGATGAAAAACTTGGACAAATAAGAACCTCATGCCTTTGATTTACTGTAGAATGTTTTGTACGAATGTAATTAGTAAATGTAATTGGTAATCGATGTGAATTTTGATGCGCACAACTCTGACATCCATACATACAATGACCTGTTGAATAGACATCGATTATCCATGGAATATGATTTTGTATCATACGAAAGAAATCATATTGTAATTGCCCAAATGAATAATTGATTGAAGCAGTGAGAAGAATGATTATTTCATGTTGTTTTTCTTGTTGATGAAGAGCTTCGCGAAGAATTGTATCAACGGCGAATTCGTAGACGAATATATTTTTGAATTTTGAAAAATAATTTTGCAATAATTGTTGAGCTGGATTCCATTTATAAACAAATATATAAACATCAGCAAATGAGGCAAACGAGAGAATCAATTCTACGTGAGCATAGTTCGTATGATAAGGTACGAAAAATACTAGATTATTTGACATCAAAAATCGTTCTTGACATAAACTAATGAAAAAATATATGAAGCCTTTTTTTTTCTCGATGATAGCTAATAAACAAATCTAACGTGGATTGTTGTGCCACACGACATTTCTCACGTGACAGTCAAGGTCATTGTCGTTCTATTGTAAAAACGGATCAATAGAAAAGCTCGATTCGTAATTTTTATTTCGACATTCAACAAAAGTATCAATACAAACTTGTTTGAGATATGTAGACGAAAAAAACAACTTATTGCTCTGTTTCGTTTTAGATCAAATGCAAATGCGTTATATACTTGACGAGAAAGAAAAAAAGAAAGAGAAAAAGAATCCGATGAATCATAAGAGTGTTTTCAATGAAAATGTTGATCTATCTTTTATTTATATGGAAAACATGTGTTACAATACACATGAAAAGATATCCTTTTTTTTGCGAATGAAAATATACATAAGTAGACTAACCGAGGCCATTGGAAATAATCAAAGGAAAGATAAATATGAATTATCTTTATATCGTTGGTCAATATACGATAAGAGTATTTAAGTAAATAACGCCATTTTTTGTTTCATCAAATGATATTCTTGGAAGATAGTTCATTTTGAAACGTGAAAAAAAAACTCTCACGATTGAAAAATATGAATACTCTAACTATGATTTATTAATCTAAAAATGAAGCATTCTAAACATATTAAAATGTCTTAATAAGAAGTTTCTCGATCAATAAATGATCCAGGAAATTTTCGAATTAACAATTTTCTCCATTCATCATAAACAAAAACAAGTAAAGTGAATGGTAACGGTAAGAACCACCAATGTAATCTAAAAAATATCTTAACAATTGAAAATTTTCTCAAAAGAAAAAAAAGAATATACTTTAAAGGATACATCATTAGACCACGATTAATATATGGAGTATATGAAATGATAATTGCTAAAACAGTTTCAAAAATAATACTCATATTTAATACTTGATTTCTAAAAAAATAGATTTTGTATAAAGAAGAATTTTATTCAAATAATTTGAATAACATACGACATTCCTTGTCGAAAAAGAGAATTTCGCCGAGATTTACAACACAACAGAACAGTCCATTGAACAATAACAACAGTAACAAAGAAAGCTGTGTGACATGTATCTTCCAATGCTTTGCGTTGTTCATAAGACTGAAGAAAGATCAAAGAAATCATTTGCTATAGAAGAAAAGAAAGTGAAATCAAACCCATTCTTGTCCATAAGAATCTTCTAAATCATTAACAGCTCTTGAATCCCATGATTTTCGTAATCCTAATAGTCTTGAAGGTAGAAATCCATTTTCTGCCATAACAACTGTATAAACAAAAAATCCGCCACCCGCTTGAATCATTCCTAATTGTCCATAACTCATCCAAATTAATCGATCTGTAGCTAAATGTTCACGTTTAGCGTCTCTTGGCGGGCGTTGCATAATATCTGATTCCGCTCTTTCGTATGCTAATGAAATAGCAGGAAACATATCCGTACCCAAATCGATACATAAAATTGCAATTGTTCCTAAAAAGAAAAGAAAACTGAAGTGTAAGTTTGAACACAAAAATGAAGTGCATACCTAATGGTAAAGGAATTTCGGCGATCATATAAAACAAAAACGGAGCTAATTCAGGAATTTTCGATGATAATGTGTAACAAATAGATTTTTTCAGATTATCAAAAATTAATCTTCCTTCTTCAATTCCGGTGATGATCGATGCAAAATTATCATCCAATAGAATCATATCTGATGCTTGTTTACTCACATCTGATCCTGTAATTCCCATTGCAATTCCAATATCCGCTTTTTTCAATGCTGGTGAATCATTCACTCCATCACCAGTCACAGCAACTATTTCTCCTAGCCTCTGACAACTTTCCACAATAATCAACTTTTGCTGAGGACTTGTCCGTGCAAAGACCACTTCTTCATGAGTTTTGATAACTTCATCCAATTGATCTTTAGTTAAATTTTTCAGCGCATTTCCATGAATAACACACGCTTTTGTTGTTGTATCATTGATATTTTCTAATAGTGTCTCTGTTGGACTTTGATCTGTAATAATTCCTGTGGCTCGAGCAATCGCAGCTGCAGTTAATGGATGATCACCTGTAACCATCAAAATTCGGATACCAGCCGATCGACATTTACTTACAGCTTGTGCAACGTTCACACGTGGTGGATCAATTAAAGAAATTAAACCTAAAAATCTGAGACCAGTAGTTGGAAAATTGAAATTTTCATAATATGGATTAACATGAAAATTGATTGTATCACAATCGAATGGAAAGTCTCGAGGATATTGATTTAATGGTAAACGATAATCAGCAAATGCTAAAACACGTTCACCAAGATTGCCTAAGACAAAAAAAAAGTTGTCTTGATCATTCGTTTGTAAATGAAACCTTTTTACTTAATTCTTTGAATGCTTTTTCATATTCTTTTTTCCAATAATCATTAAAGCCGATTTCTGAGCCATCAACAAATATTGTTGAGCAATTTTTAAGGATTTTCTCTGGTGCACCTTTCATAACAAGTAAATATCGATCATCATTGTCATTTGTCGAATGAATTGAAAATTGATAACGATTTGATGAAGAAAATTGAACTTCGCAAATCTTTGGATTTATTGCTCGATATGTCGACACACTTCCGACCTGAAATTCATGAATATTTCTTCAAAATAGGATCCAATGTTTTACTGTAAATCACCTACAGTTGCTTCCATACATTTCAGAATGGCTGTTTCACTTGCGTCACCTTCACTTTGCCGTTGTAAAATAGGTTTAGTAAGATTGTCTGGATCATCTTTAAATATAGCTGTGTTACATAACATTGCACAACGTGTTAACGCTTTCCAACAATGAGAAAATCTTGTATAATTTGATTCTAAATCAAACGAACATATTGAATTCACAACTTTCAATATTCAAATTCGTTTACTCGATTGAAAAGCTTCGATATCTGCATCAATGATATGATTATCAAACCACATATGTGCAACAGTCATTTGATTTTGTGTTAATGTTCCTGTTTTATCTGAACAAATGATTGTTGTTGAGCCAAGAGTTTCGATTCCTTCCAAATTTCTTACAAAACAATTTTTTCGTGCCATTCGTTGTGCTGTTAATGTTAAACAAACCTTGGAATTACAAACGATAATCTAATCTTCTCTTAAAGAAATTCACTCACAGTAACAGTGGCTAGAAGACCTAAAAATGAAAAAAAAAAACAAAATTTGTTGGAAAAAATGAAAATGAAAGTTTTAACCTTCAGGAACCTGAGCAACGATTACACTGATAAGAAAAACAACGGCTTCAACATATGTATAGCCAAGTGAGAGAGAACAGATGCAAAAGATCACACCAACAACAACAGCAATGATCGTTATAATACGAATGAAATGATTGATTTCAGTTGCAATTGGTGTTGTACCCGATTGAACACCTAAAATCGAAATTCTTTAAATAAAATTTCCAAGATTTTCTTCTCAATCAAACCCGCAGTTAAATTTGCAATTCTTCCAATGAATGTTTTGTCACCAGTACGAATAACAACACCAATGCATGAACCTACATGAAATTCAACATAAAAAGTTTCAAAAAATGTCAAATAAACCTTCAACAGCAAATGTTCCGAAAAACGCTAAATTTCTTGTTTCTAGAGGATCTTCATTTGTATATTCGATTCCACGTGATTGCGGTTCAGATTCTCCAGTTAGCGAGGAATTATCAACTTTCAGACCATGCGCGCGAATTATTCGAATATCAGCTGGAATTCTATCGCCACGATGAACTTCCACAATATCTACAATAAAATTAGTGTTCAATGGTATTTTCATCGAAAATTTCAATTTTTTACCTCCGATAACGATGTCTTCGGGATTAATATTTCTCGATCTTCCGTGGCGAACAACACAGGCTTTGTTAAAATGAAAAAGTCAATTAAAATTTCCTTCAATCTCGATAAAAACCTGCTTGTGGAACTAAATATTTGAACGATTCCATAATTTTCGAACTTTTCGCTTGTTGGTGATACGAAAAGAATCCCGTAATAATAATTACACTTGCTAGGGCAATTCCTAGATACATCTAAACAGGGACGTTTACTTGAAGAAAAGAGAATTAAGAGTTAAAATACAAACATTATCATATTGTGGATCTTCTAATGTATACAATTCCAAAAAATGTGCAATAAAACAAAGAAAAGCACCAACCCAGAGAAGCATCGCAAAACCGCCGAACATATTTTTGGCTAAACGAACTATTTCAGGAGTTGTTCGAGCTGGTGTTAAATCATTTGGACCATCCCGTTCAAGAAGCACTGCTGCTCGTTCTTCTGTAAGACCCTACGAAGAAAAAACAATGTCAACATCAAGTAAATTCAAATGAAATGTTTTACCATTGCAGGACTTGTTCCATATCTTCGATAAACCTCACCAATGGAAATTTTATGTTCGTCCTTCGAAAGAAAAAAAATTGGTTTGATACTTCTTGAGAATATTTCCTAACATACCAATTCAATTTCATTTTTCAATGCTTCCAAATTATTTCGTGCAGCTGGTTTTTTATCACGAAACTAAAAAGAAGTCGATTTATTCTCTCGAAAACCTGCCACGATCGGATTTTTTTCTTTTACCATAATTTGAACTTGTATTACGTTTGACTAGAGAAATACGGGCTATCGATTTTGCATTAACAGTAGAATTAAAATCTGTCAAGCATAGCTTCCAACTAAAGAAAAAATAAAAAAATATACCTTTCAGTCGAGGGAAGAATGCAATCAAATATCTTACCTGTATGATCAATATGATGTTTTTTTTGTCTTCTTCTTACGAAGGAGAAATAACGTGATAGATATTCTTTTCTTTCCTTTTTCTTTTATATGAAAAAAGTCAATTTCAATAAATATGCGGCTTCTTTCTCATCCTCTACTAATTCGTTTGTGATGTTATTATCTATATGAGAATACTTGATCAAATATTGATTTTAAAAAGAGAATATTTGACCGATTTTGACTTGATCATGAAAAACGAAACGAATTTGAGGTCAATGACATTTTCTCTAATGAATTCATTTTTGTTTTGGAAGTGAAGCGAATAGAAATGTGAATTGTACATCTCAATTAAAGTGCAAATATAAACGTTAAAGTATCATACTGTTCTTTCCTTTAAATAAGGAGAGAAAAGAGCAACGGATGGATCACTGATAAAGGAAAAGTACGAATCAAGTTTGTACTCAAAAAATATTGACAAGTCACTGGAGGGGATGTGATGACATCAAGTCGTCAACGTTTCTTTTTTCATCTTAACTGATAGCTTTCGTGCGTCCAAAGCTCTAAGACATTACATTGATCATATTTCTTTATATTTTTCGTGTCGAGAAGAGGTCTACTTTGCACATCGATATAGACTATCTCAGAGCATATGAATCAGACTTGGCCGAGAAAATTATAACATACAGATTAAGTCTTCAGAGTCAAGAGAGCTCTGATAAAGCTGAAGATAAATACTGCGGTGAGCAAAAACATGTGACGCTAACAGCATTTGCGACCAATTGCCGTGTAAGAAGTTGAAGAGGAAGCCGTCGAAATTGAACTAGGAATGACAAAGACATGATTCAGGCATAAATTATGAGAGAGAACAATTGTTTTCATTTCATTCCTTTTTGTTTATCCAATGTTCAACACACTTTCAATGTACTATAAACAGGTATTGTTAATTTTAGATACTCGTGTTCTGAATCTCAAAAAGCTAGTTATACTTATACAATGCATAACAGAGTCCTAGAAGAATAAGTTGAAGTAAGGATTTTAAACAAAACTGCAGGTTTCCATTATTTTCTTCTCCTTTAGAACAAAAAGCCAGGTGATCACTTCGACGAAATCGAGTCACTGGGTGCGAAAGTGAAACAATTAAATGATCGACTGGAAGTTAAAAAGTCGCTCATTGTCAAGTTGACCAATGATCTAAAGGCTTTAGCCGAACAGATAGAGTCATGCTGAATCTGACTGGAAAAATTCAGTCGGTTATTGTAAATTTTATGAGCGATCTTTTTTAGCTATATTTTATGATGATTCTTAGAAAATCCGTGTTTCGGCTCCGAGTACGGGATTGATCGACCTGGGAAGTGAAGACATGGAAAATGGAGCAAACAGCGTCAAATATTATTCAAAACTCTGTCCTAATATATTTTGTGTTCATTAAACACAATGTATGTGTAACTTATAAAGCATTATTTTCGTTTTTGTTAATTCATCATTTGAAATTCTTTGTAATTTTTGATAGATATGTAGTTTACTTCTCATCTTCTATTAATTCAGTCGTGATATGTTATTATCTGTGTGGGAACACTCGATCATATGTTGATATAAGAGAAGAAAAAGTATAATATTCAAAGAAACTCTGAAAGATAAACCACTTTCTGTCAATGACTTTTTCTTTGGTGAATTAAATTTTGTTTGGGAATTGGAAGTGAAGCGAACACAAATGTGTCACGTATTATCTCAGCTTAAATAGGTACATAAGATTTAGAAAAACATCATCTTTTACACAAGGAATGAAAAAGCAAAAAGATCTGTAAATGAATCACTAAGAAAAAGAAATGCGAAAAACGAATGCGACTTACCATATAGTCGTGATTTTGAATACAAAAGGCATCATAATTGGTTTGGCCTGTTATCGATGAAACAGAATATATAAGAAACATATGGCCAAATCTTTTGCCTTCACTAATCAACGTTCGAGCTAAGAATAATAAATGACTTTCTTTTGTAAGATTTATACAATCTTGGTATCTTCGTTTCTTTGTTGGATTATAAGCAAGAAAGGGGAAAAATTGAGAAAAGTTTATGCAGTTTCTCATATAGAGTACCAGTTGTCCTCAATGTTTGTGCAAAACATATGAAAAATTCAAAGTGATATAAGACAATCTCGGTGTAAAACGTGTCAGATTAAATGAAATGTCAAAGAAAAGATATTTCTATTCTTCAGTAATTATATTCTGCCCGTAAAATTTTTAATGATATTATTCGAAAAAAGTTTTTTGAAGGACTTTTGCGGTGTCTCTAAATCGATGGCGGATTTTTGGTTATACATCAGCGATATCAATATTAGCTGGATGCGAGTTGTATTGAAGATTATGCGAGTTTATTAGAAAAGCATATTGATGACAATACTGAAACGATAGTTAGAAGAATATGAAGTACATACGATGACATGCGGAAAACAGAAACTATACATATATTAAAAATAGTAAACAAATTACAACACAACATGTTCTATTTGTCTCTTCCGAGATACGACCTAGTCATCATCTATTTATTTATATCGAATATTCCTTGTCGTTCAGTGACAACGACATTTACGTCAAGTAATCTACAAACCAAATTTTATTGAACAACTTTTTTTTCCACAACCACTGCATTTGAATCATTATGTGATTCAATATCTGCTTTATTTGTTGGTGAATTTTTTTGCAAACGAGTAGACATACTTTGACAGACAGGAATCAAAAAGAGTTTGACGACGAGATAAACCAAACCAAAAACTTCTAATACAACAATTGTGAAGAGAAGATTATGAAAGATAACTTCTGTCTGTCGAGCAATTGGTTGTTGTAAATTGCTAACATAGAAATTATCTTCGGTAATAGTCACAGTAATATTAGTAGCTGTTCGATAGATAAATGTATATCGAGTCTCATTAGTAAACAGCATATCAGAATTGACATTGAATGAAGAAGAAAAAATGGCACTAAATGTCGATAATCCATTACTGGATAATGGGTCAGTTTGATTGACTATTTTTGTCAATGTGATTGGAAATGTAGTTGTTTCAGCAAGAACTTCATCAAATGATGAGGAGACGAATGTGGAAGCGAAATTCAATTCCATTGCTGTGAATCTTAAAATAGTTTGTAAATTTTTAAAAGTAATTTATCTCAATAAGTTCTATCTCTTTCAATCTACTAAGGCAAAGAAGAGAATTTTGTTTTTTATTTACCTTTCATTGTCAGCTTGTGCTGAAGGTCCACTAACACCGATTCGGACGGCCCCAACAGTTTTTAATCCGTTCAAAACAAGTTTAACAGAAATTTCATGAACTGGAAGTGCAACAGCCAAAGTCATGATTGTTTTATTTTTATTTAATTGGCAATTGTTTATTGGTAATCGAACAGTTTTATAACCAATGTCACGAAGGACATAAAAATTGTCTTGACAATTGAATGCTGTTTGAATAAGATCAATATTCAATGTGAATGCTTGAGCATTGAGTAAATCAAATACGGTTTGACTTTCTTTTGTTGAACGTGCAGGATCCCATCGTTTCTGAGCTGTAGTAGAGAATTTTGCATTACGTAAAGTAACATCACATGCAAATGTACTATTTGTAGTAACTCGTTCTATTGGATATTGATGAAGATAACCATTAGAAAAATGATATGCGAATATGACTAGAACAATAATTGCCGACGAGGTTAAACCACCTATCCACATCTAAATCAAATAACATTAAGAAGGATGAATTTCTTCTTTCAGTTTGCTCTGATAGAATATCAAATTACCTCTCCTTCACCAATCAGATCCATTTTTCTAAAGATTCGTTTGATTTTATCTCGAATAGAATGATAACGAGGACAACAGACTTCCGATAGAATTATTCCAATAGAAATAGTTAAACCGAATATCATAAAAAACAAAACCCAAGTAATCGGAGATACAACTAAACAATGAATTGATGTTGGATTTAAACTGAACATATTCTGCATCAAAAGATCATCAAAAACAGTACTCTCAGGTGGTTCAGGATAATCTTGATCTTGTTCAATCGATTCAAATTCTGAATAAGAAACTTGTCCAACAGCTCCGTATGGACAATAAATATCATCCGAACAATTCATCGATGACGAAGAGTAAGGAGAACATAATTCAATTCCATCGTAATCTCGGCTAGTACCAGAATAACAAGGAACACTAGTTGTAGCCCAACCGCTTGTGTTTGTATTTGGATATTCATTTGGTGGTGCACGAAGAATACCAACACCACCACCTAAAAGGTTTAACATGCCTAAATTACCAGAAGGAGAACAAGCAATACGAATAATTGATGGAGCCATATATTGTTGCAAAGGCTGTAAACTATTCGGATAGATATAAATTGGTTGCGTTGAATCGGAAAATCCATCTGATTCAATATCATAAATATGTATTGATGATGAAATCCAATCAAAAGTTGTATATGTATAAGTATTCGCTAAGATCACAGCTTTACGTCCATTTATATCCAACCACGAAACACTTTTTCCATAACCCATATATCCAACACCATTATCACGACTACCAATTAAATCATAAGTATTGTTTAACGAATACAAAAAGACTGTGTTTAATGATTGAACTCCAATCAGTACTTGTTTTGTTTTCCAACAAATACTAACTGACATCACTGATTTTGATGTGTAACTTCGACTACTCGTAATCAAACGTATTACACGAGGATCACTCCATGAATAAGTTCTAGCAGTTGCAATATTAAATTTATTTGTAATATTTGGACATGAAAATGATGTGTTCAAACGAATGAGAAAGGCACATTCATTTGCAACTGCTGTTGATATTTGACAATATCCAGCAACAACAGTATAATCTTGATTTATACCAATATGCATTCCTCGAGGAGATATTCCCAATGTATTTGACCAAATAAATAAATCAATCGTTGGAGACAATTGATAAAAAAATATGAAATTATCTGCAATACCATAAACACCCGTGCCATCACCATTAAAATCAATGAGAAAATTATCTTGTGTCGAATAATTTGATACAATTCGTTCGTCTATTAATTGAAAATCACATTTTTGATTGCTTGTATAAAAACCGATGACATTATTTCCTTGAGAATCAATACAATTATAAACAAACGAGAGATTATTCGTAGGTGTTGCAACAACGCTATAAACAAACTGACATGTTGTTGCACTGAACGTTAGATTACAATTGGAGGCATCTGTATATGGAAATATCACAGGATACCAAGTTGAATATACATTGTCTGCATTAATTAAAAATTGATCATTTGTTGTTATTTTATTTCCATATAAATCATAATCAGTTGGAGTATTCGTATACATTAATACAGGAGAAAAGATAAAAAATAAGAAAAACATTATCTTACGAGTCATTGCAATAGAATATTTGTTTTTAAATTTTCTTTTCTTATATATGATTGTTATTCGCGACAATAAGTATAAGATGACATTCTTTTATTTCTATATGAATGATTAATGAATATTAAAATTTAATTCATTTCCGAAGAATCATATTCTTATTTCCATCGGATATGACCTACTATCTTGAAAAAAATCTTCGTCGTATTGAATTTTGTATAATTTACTTTGATATAAATCATTAAGTAATGAATGAGAAACATTTTTTTGATTAAAAGCTTTTACATAGATTGATAATATGAAAAAGAAAAAAAATTTAAACAAGAATTTATTTCATTTCAAGTTTTAATGATTCTTTTCTTCTCTATTTTACGTCATAATCGATTTTCAACTGATCAATAGAAAACATATTTATAACAAAGATATTCAGTTGAGGTTTGTTCATTTCAAATACACACTTTTTCTTTATCTAAGATAACACCCTCATCAATAATCATATAAATTTGAAGAGAAATATGATAAGAAAGATATTTTCCCTTTACTATGAATCTTTATACAAAGAAAATTGTTTTGAAAATCAATAATTCCAACTAAAAACATGATGATCATTGTTTTTGAATATTTCTTCGTTATAAATTAATAATTACGATAAACCATTTTGAGTATTGAGCATTTTATAATAAATACCACGTTGTTGTATTAATTTCGAATGTGTTCCACTTTCTACTATAAATCCTTTGTTAAGTACACAAATGAAATCACATGAACGAATTGTTGAAAGACGATGAGCGATAATAATCGATGTTCGAGTCGAATCTTCTGTTTGAGCTTGATCGAGAGCTGCTTGTACAATCTATAATAAAGAAATTGGATTTTTTTAAAATAAAACAAAAAGACGACAAATGACTTCTTCATTATATGAATCCATTGCACTTGTTGCTTCATCTAACAATAAAACTTTTGGTTGACGAAGAAGAACTCGAGCAATAGCAATACGTTGTTTTTCTCCGCCTGATAAAAAACTTCCTTTGATACCAACATTTGTATTATAACCCTAAATTGATCAAAACAAATTCTATCGAATATGATAAATGAAATCTGGAACCTGAGGTAATTGTTGAATAAATTGATGAATATTTGCTTTTTTTGTTGCTTTGATAACTTCATCCATTGAAATATTTTCTAATCCATAAGTTATATTTTCCATAATTGTTAAATCAAACAGAATTGGTTCTTGACTAACCAGACCAAAATGAGAACGTATCCAATGGAGATTTAATTCGCGAATATTCGTATCATCTAGAAGCTAATTTAAAAAATAAAAGTTTCTTTTTTTCACAAATATGATTGAAGAAAACTAAACTTACTATTCGACCTCGATTTGTATCGTAGAATCTTTCTAATAATTGAATAATTGTCGATTTTCCACATCCTGATGCACCTGAATTTATTTATACGGCATAGCACAAAATTAGATGATTAAAAAAATCATACCAACGAGAGCAACACGTTGACCTACATAGTAATAAAAATGTAGGATAAATTTCACGTTAATGAAAACTAGTTTCACTCACCTGGTTTTACGATCAAATCAAATTTGTTCAGGACACGAGCTGTTGGTCGTGTTGGATAAACAAATTCAACTTGATCAAAGTGAATTTCTCCACGGAATTTTTTCTAAATAAATCGATTCGCAAAGGAAATTTCTTTGATTTTCTTACCAATATTTTTCCTATTCTCGGTGTATTGTCAATAGTTGGTGTTCGATCAAATAAATCAAAAAAGACTTGTGAAGCAGATAATGATGAACCAACACGTCGAGATCTAAAACGATAAAGACTAAGCAAAACAGAACTGAAATGAGAAAAACATATCTTACAATAAACCAACGATTCGTAATGTTTGAGTCATAAATGTCGCAAAAGCAAAGACTCTAAAAATAATTAAATCGGCTGAAATTTTTCCCCAAAAAAAAAAACTCGTCTTTGACTTACATCATCATATGCAACAAATCTATCTGATGATTTTCAATAAGAACAAGACCACGCCGATCTCTGTTCTAATCGGTTGTATTGCATCTATAATTGCAGGTTTATATCAATAAATATTCGCAATTCTTCTAACAAATATTATTTATGTAAGAATATTCATTCACAATTTGATTTCAATTTTATCTTTTTTTTTTATACAGGCATTTAAGTATTGTCAAAAATCACACATCAGTCATCAAATTATACTTTCCTTCCTTTCATTATTATTCTTAGGAATATTTTTATTAATCATTCGTTTCTTTCAAGTAATCAAAACCTATTGTTTTTTAATGGAATTTTACTCATGAAGTTCGTTTTAGAATACAGCATTTGCAATATCAGGATCAATATTAACACAACGTATTCGTTCAAAAGCTTTTTCATGTCTTCTTCGTCAAGAAGTGGCGTATTTTGATCGACCTGAAAATAGTTCCGGAGCTATTGATTCTCGTCTCTCATCAAATGCTGCAGCAAGATTAGGTATCATTTGTGAAGCTATTGCTTTAGCTGTTTTTGGTCTCATCTTTGATTTGGCTGTCAATTTACAATTAACATTAATCGTCGTTATACCAATTTGTCTTGTAGTTACTACTGAAATTATTGATATACAAGTAAAAATAATGTTAAAAAAACGTTCCAATGTTATCCTTGAACGGGCGAATACAGTGAGTTTTGTTTTCTTTATGAAAAGTAGAAATTCTCTTTTTTTTGTTTATTTTAAGCTCGCTATTGATACTATTCACAATATGCGAACAATAAAACAATTATCTGTTGAAAAGGACGTTCTACTTCGATATCCCGAATTCATCTATGAAGTATTTAGGTTTGTGTTTCTCAACATATCGAGTTCTATAGATGAAAAAAAATTTTCGATTTTTTTTCTCATGAAGAATATCGCGGAAATCAGAATTTGTGTCTGGGATAGTCAATGGTTTTTATTGGGGCACAGATTCACTTATGTTTGGATTTTTATAAAAAAAAAACTCGGTCATTTTCTCTATCGAAACATGGTGACATCCGTTGGAATTGCGCAGAAAAGAAAATTAATTCACGATGATTATGATCAATATGTTCAACGTCTTCATCGTTTTCATCAAGTGAGTTTATTCTCATCGATGAATGGCTTCTCCCAGGTTATTCACATTTAATTACACATGAACATGAACTTTCATATTTAATTCAAAATAGTTTCGATATTTGGTTGACTTTATTTGCCGGTCTTCTTCTATTCATTCTTTCAAATTATTAAATCAGTCTTTTGTCTTCAACATTCGATAACAAAACACGTACAGTAGACTGAGATGTAATGTGAATATCGTTCATTTTCTCTTATTGACTATTAGAAAATAAAAAAAACATTGTTGAAATCTGAGACAGTTTCATATTTCTATACAATCTCGACGAGAAAATGATACATTTGTTGTCATTGTTTATACAAAAAAAATGCAACAATTGCAAAGGATTAGAATTAATCGAAATGACATTCTTTTGAATGTTTTGACTTGTTAGTCAATGTCTTATCCGATGAAAATTGCGATTGTTCAAGTCAATTTCGTTAGTCATCGGCTTATGTTCATTGTTTTTCGTTCGCAAGTTTGTTTAGTCTCTTGTTCTTCTCTTTCCTAATTAGCGATTATAAAACAAAGAAAAATCGATCACATATAGACTGTTGATATGATCAAATAGTTTTGTCGAGACAAATTCATCTCTTCTTACAATCGAATAAATGATCAGTTTCTTTTTCGTCATCTCGATCCATTAGCAATAAAAGAACAATGCGGTGAGTGTTAACGAACTTTTAAAAAAAAAATGATTTCAAATTTTGTATTTAGGTGGAAAAATTCTTCATCTCATCCGATATTTATTTTCATCGTTGTTCTTTGTGTTCGAAGAACATGTGGATCTCATCATCTTTCAAGTTTGTTTTTTTCTTCATTTATGAGAAATTGGTTGAAGAAGAAAAAGTTTTTGTTCAGATATTCATCTTCAAAATTGGACAAATCCATGTGAACCAAATCCATGTCGAGCAGGAATATGTGAATTAGTTTCGAAATTAACATTTAGTTGTCATTGTATTCCTGTAAGTTTCAAAATTGATTGAGATTTCTTTTTCTATTCGATATTCATTTCAGTATGTTCATGGTTCTTTGTGTGAAAAATTGAATTATACTCAAAAGCCATGTGAAAGCAATCCATGTTACAATCAGGGTTTATGTTCACCAATAGTTTCATCAAAAGATTTGTCAAATCAAAAAGATTTTGTTTGTTTATGTCCAGCACGTCATGTTGGACGATTGTGTCAAGAAAATGTTGGAGAATGTTCGTGTTTAAATGGAGGAACTTGTTATCGTAATTTGAAGATTAATTTTTATGTTTTGCTTTTTTTTCGCTAATGAAATGTTGTTTAGGATCGAATGAAGGGTATAAATGTGTTTGTCCAATGTTATTTACGGGCCCTTTTTGTGAACATGATCTACGAAATACAACATTTTGTACGCATTCACCTTGTCAACATAATGGAACATGTATTTTAGTTCAATCACCAGCTGGAATTTGTCTATGTGAACCGGGTTATATTGGAGAATTCTGTGAAAAACGTGTTCCATTTTGTCAAGAAAATCCATGTCGAAATAATGGTTCGTTATTCTTTGAAAGAAAACATCAATTCCAAAAGAGAAATGTTTAGGAACATGTGTCCCATTATCCGGTGTCGATGGTCAATGTCTTTGTCAACCAGGTTATACAGGTCGTTTATGTGAACATCGTCAACGAACATTCTGTTCACTTTCTCCTTGCCAAAATGGTTCAACTTGCATTGTATTAAATCATACAGGCGATGGATTTTGTTTATGTCCACCAGATTATGCTGGACCATATTGTGAATATATTACACCAACTGCGTGTAAAAAGAAATGTCAAAATAATGGAGGAAAATGTGCATTAGTTGATAATAAATATGGAAGATGTTTATGTCCAAAAGATATTACTGGACCATATTGTGATACACCACTTCATCCGTGTGCACCAAATCCATGTGGTTTGTTCGAAAATCCAATTTGATTGAAAAATCATTTGTTTTTCTTTCTTTTAAGAAAATAATGGTATTTGTGTTCATGAAACTAAAAGTCAAACATATAAATGTTTATGTACTTATGGTTATTCAGGCTCAAATTGTTCAGAAAATCTCAATCAATCGTTCTGTTCATCCCATCCGTGTATGAATAATGGAACATGTTTAGAGTCACCAACAAGTCCCGATGGAATTTGTCGATGTGAACAAGGTTTTGGTGGAAAATTTTGCGATGAAATTGTCAAATGTGGTGATCAACAATGTCAATATCCTGAACAAGTTTGTTTAGCTGATAGTTGTGTTAATGTAACTGGCGAACTCTATTGTTTGTTACATGAATGTCAACATGGCGGAACATGTGATCCAATTTCCCGACAATGTTTATGTCAAAAAGGTTTTGCTGGAATTAAATGTGAATTAAAAAGTTTATTTTGTGATGAAACAAATAATATTTGTCAAAATAATGGAACATGTCTTCCAACACAAAATACGTGTGTTTGTACAAATTCTTTTACGGGTAAATATTGTGAAATTAATATTGATGTAGAAATAATTGATTATGAATGACATTTTTCGAATCATTTTCTTTAAAGAAGAAGTTTTTTGTTCGCGTGTTTTCTTTTCTTTATTATTAATTCAAATAAATCATTTTAATTAATTTATTGAAGAAAATCTTCGAGAAAAACAAACCTTGTTCTTGTACTTCATGAAATTCATTACATAATATAATCAACGTGACATGACCTGAACCTAGTGGGCTGTCTGTCGCCTTGTCGGATTTTTGACTGAAGAAATAAATCTGAGAAGATTTATGTATGTCTTCTAAGACATAAATCTTCACTTACGGTAAGGCAAGAAATCCTTGTAGAGGCAAAATGATTGTATTTTTTAATCTCGATTTCTGTTTAAAAGACAGAAGAACTTCGGCGTATTTTTACAAGGTTATTTTGTTCGTAGTGATCGACATAATGAAGAAAACAAAAATCATGTTAACAACTTGATGGTTAAAACAGAAAAATACGAACGAACGAACGAGTAATGTAGATGTTAATAGAAGATCTTTTTAAAGAAAAACAGAATAAAAGAAGATTGTTATCTAAAATTGAAAAAAGAATAAATTCGAAGAATAGCGATAAAGTGATCATTATAATCATAGAAGATCAACTATACTTTATTTTTCAATTCTCTTTAACTTTTAATTACTGTAACAGGTCTTGTCATTAATTTTTCATTTTGAAAGTTTACTTAATGTCCTTTTGAGAAATGAAAAATAGTGTGAAATCACGCTATTTTTGCACGAATAATTCATGCAGATGATGAAAGGCATCAGAAAATAATAAGTACGTCATATTCTTTTTGTTTTCAAAAGATTATTTTCATCTATTTAACGAAATGTGATCTTTCGGATGAAAAGAGAGAAATATTGGATTTTTCTTATCTCTTTAGATCTAGTTGTTAGTTGTTTTGTTTAAGGTAATTTACGTCGAAGAATATTAATTAAATATAAAGATGCTTAACGGGGAAAAACAGATATTAATTCGATGTAACAGACTTTCGCAATCAACTGTTTCCATTTTTGGGAGTATCTCTTCTTTATATTTATTACCGAAGGGAAAAAGAGATTTTTTAATAAAATCAAAAGGTCAGAATTGATTCTTTTCTTTTTTAAAGAGATGAGAATAAGATGAGTTTTTCTTCAAAGAAATCAACCTAAGTTGATGAGTCCGGAAGCAATCTCTCACTAATTTTTGATGAGTCGTCAGGAAACGTTTCTGATTCTGGTCACATAGTTTTTCAAAATGTTCAAAACTGAGCGAAAGAGTTCATTCGTCAGAACTATGGAGGTTTTGTCTTTAGAATGTGTTAAAGAAACGTAATCCACAGTAGTGATACTTTTTAATCAAATACATTTGATAGATCTAAGTAACTTAGTGTGATATTAATTTCGACTTTTTCGAAGTTTCAATGAAATCCGATGTTTAACAGATTTTGTTGGAAATTATTTGGAAACTAAGTCAGACGTGTCATTTACACTCGAATGACGTATTTCAATGAATTCATGTAAAAGTTGTGCGTGATGAACACAATGTGTAATCAAATTTGAGGGACTTGTTCATCTGCATACTTTTACTTTATCTTCTTTTCCTTTTTTCATATAATCACGATGATTATCTTTAAAAAATGTTTATCTTCTGTGGGATAAATTATAGGAGGAACTTTTCTCTGGTAATAAATACCAAAGAGATTTTCAAAGATAATTACGTACCTGTGACAAAATTACATAGAAGGGCAAAGTATCTTCTCGTCCGCTCTTCTATCTTTTCGCTTTTTTCATAGTCTGTTCCTATCTGACCTATATAATCTGAGTTTGAATGAAGACAATTAATAATTCTAATACTTTGCCCTTCTTTTGAAAAATCTTCATTTCGATTCGATTTAAACGTCTACTTACTATATAAGTGAGAGATTATACATTGACAAGTCAGACAAGTATTTGACGTACGCTGACGTAGAGTATTTGAATAAGTTACTCTAGTTTTCTTGTTTATTCACTTCTCTTTTGTATATTGAAGAAAGTATCTGTCAGAACCTTCGTAGAAAACAGAACTACTAAATATCTATATACATCATGTTTACTGTGTGTGTTCGTTTCTCTGTGCCGGATCAAAGGTTAGATATGAAAAATTTTAGAGTTTTCTTCAACAGTCGAGAACTATACGAACCTAATTAAGATTTCTAGAATGTTCTGGTACTTTTGTTGAAGAGTTTCTGCAGATATTATAGTTCTCAAAAGCGAAAGATAAACTATTCTTGAGTTCTCGATCGATGGTTATTAAATTTACACGGTATGTAAGAGGTAGGACGAAAGTGATGATGGAACTGTCGAACTTGATATTTAAGGTCTCTATGTTTGTTTTCCAATGTAACCTGAAACGTTCGCTATCATAAGTTGAAGGTTAGCGGTAAAAGTGCAGTATGCACCGGATCTTACTAGTTTAACATATATTTTGTTCATCCACTTCCTTCCGTCTGCGAAATGCACGATGAGGACTTTTATGTCATTTTACATATCTGTGTAAAACTTATTTGTCCGTGTTCTACTGAGCTGAAAGTTTTCAGAAACAAATATCTGATTGATTTTTAGAAAGAAAGATCATGTTTACAACAACTCCGTTATCACAAATCGATGGATATATCATATTATTAAGTTTTGGAATTGTATTTAGTTTATTCATAATTGGAATAACACTTCTTCTGCAAAGATTCAATGGTGAAAATAAAATGTCGAGTGAAACATTTTTAACAGCAAATCGAAAAGTTCGATCAGGTTTATTAACATCATCAATCGTTTCATCATGGACATGGGCCGCTACACTTTTACAATCAAGTTCTGTTACTTATTCCTATGGTATATCGGGTGCATTTTGGTATGCAAATGGTGCAACAATTCAAATTATTTTATTTTCAATAATGGCGATAGAATTTAAACGTCGAGCACCATTTGCTCATACATATTTAGAAGCCATTCGCGCACGATATGGCCGTGAAGGTCATTGGATATTCATTATATTCTTTTTATTTACAAATATTCTTGTTACATTAATGTTATTAACAGGTGGTTCAGCTGTTATTCATTCATTATGTGGAATGCCTATCGTTGCTGCATGTTTTTTATTACCATTAGGAACAATTATCTATACGATAGTTGGAGGAATAAAAGCAGTATTTTTAACAAATTATATTCACACGGTAATTAATATTCTCATCATATTATTTTTCGCGTTGACAACATATCAAACATCACCTTTATTGGGTTCATTTTCACAAATGTATAATTTACTTGTTAATGCAAGTTTAACTCATCCAATTGAAGGAAATTATCAAGGATCTTATTTAACGATGAAATCCCAAGATGGTGCAATGTTTTTCTTCATAAATTTAATTGGAAATTTTGGAACCGTATTTCTTGATAATGGATATTATAACAAAGCAGTTGCTTCTTCACCAAAGTCTGTCATACGTGGTTATATTCTTGGTGGTTTAGCATGGTTTGCTATTCCATTTCTTGCTGGTACAACTATGGGTCTCGTTGCTGTGACACTTGAAACAAATTCATTGTTTCCAACATATCCAAATCGATTAAGTAACGATGATGTCACATTTGGTTTAACTTTACCTGCGGCTGCAATTGTTTTACTTGGAAAAAGCGGAAGTATAGCAAGTTTTATTATGATATATTTAGCATGTACAAGTGCAATGTCTGCACAATTGATTGCAGTTGGATCCATTGTAACATTTGATATTTATCGAACTTATTTTCATCGAAATGCATCGGGAAAACGATTATTTTTCGTTTCACATTTTTCTTTATTAGCTTTTGCTTTGATTATGAGTATTTCATCAATTGGTTTATATTATGTTTCAATAAGTTTGAGTTATTTATATACAACAATGGGAATTATTATATCAAGTGCTGTTCTACCTGCATCATTGACTATTTTATGGAATAAACAAAGTAAATTAGCTGCTTGTCTTTCTCCACCATTGGGTTTGATTTGTTCAATTGGTTCTTGGTTATTATCAACAAAATATATTTATGGAAAAATTACAATTCAAACAACAGGATCAAATTTATCAATGTTGATTGGAAATCTCGTTGCATTGTTAAGTCCTCTGATATTTATTCCTTTATTTACTTTTATTAAACCAAATGAAATTCCTTACGATTTCGTATCAATGAAAGAAATTCAATTAACTGACGTTAATTCTCCAAATCCTAATAATGCAACAGCTGAAGAAGTCGAACGAGGAATTTCATATTTAAAAGACAATTCTCGATTTGTTCGTTTAATTGCAATAACAATCACAATATGTTTAAATTTAATTTGGCCATGGCCAATGTATGTCTCATCATATGTATTTAGTGAAACATTTTTCACGTTTTGGATTTGTTTGGGTATCGTTTGGTTATTGATATCATTTATTATTGTTGGTATTTATCCAATTATGCAACACTATCGAACAATTAAGTCGATTTTGAGTTTGATTTATTTTGATATCAAAGCATTTCGAGATCCAGATTGACGAATGTTTCTCTTATTAACAATTTTCGTAGATTTTTTTTTCTCAGAATAAATTCCTTAACAGATCACACATTCATCCTAATAACATTTTTCAATTTAACTCAAGTTCATTGTTCTCCTCATAAGTCACATCTCCTTTGTATTAATCGATATTTCTCACTGAATCGATGACGCGAAGAAATTTTCATTTGTACCATTAATATTGATAAGAATATTATCCCTTAAATGTACGACCACGTAAGAAAATGTAATTTACAGTGTATTTTAGTCATATTCACTTACTGCATCGCCTACACGTTGTCATCGATTATTTTTGTTTTTCTTCTCCTCTCCTTCGTTTTCATTAATCTGATCTCCACGTGAATTGATAAATGACGACAAAAGTAAAACATATTATGTTTTCATATCAATGGAATAGTTCAGTTTTGGTTGCAAAGATTTATGATTATTTATCCAAAACTCAATCAATACCTGTTTGGATGGATACACACGGAGGAATGACTGAATATCTCAGTTCAAGGTAAAGGAACACAACAATTTTTTCTCATTTTCAAATCCTTGTCTTGTTAAGTATGGCTGAAGGTGTTGAAAATTGTTGTGTATTGATTTGCTTCTTAACACCTGAATATCAGGAATCAATGAACTGTAAAAAAGAATTAACTTATGCATCTCAATTACAAAAACCGATCATTCCATGTCTTCTTGGATCGAATGACAAGACAAAAAAATGGAAGCCATCGCAGTGGTTGGGTTTAACAATTACTGATCTTCTTTATTTGAATTTTACGAAAATCAATGACGAAAATTTCGAAGCAAAGTGTCGTGATTTACTTGACAAGATCAATTCGGTTGTTGGAAATTCAAGTTCAATAACGCTTGAATCAGAATCCAAAGCAAATTCGAAAGAAGAAGAAGAAGAACAAGAAAGTGATGAAGAATTTCACTCATCAACTTCACCTTCCTTATCGATTATTCGCCAAGGTCCAGAAATAAAAAATGAGACATTAAACTTAACTTCTCAAACTTATTCCAATGAAGGTGATTCATTTATTCATCTTAGAAATCAATCGTCTGAAATCGAATGTAATCAAGATCTTTATTCAAGAAACAATCAATTTTTCAATTCATTCACTTTATCTCGTTTTCTTTTTCATAATACAAACTCTCAAGAATCGATTGCAGTTTTAAGTTTATCAGCTGAATACGAAGATTTATCAAAAGATGAAGAAAAAACTACTTGGATTCCCTGTCAAATCAAAATCAATAATAATGAACAACTAATTCAACTTGATCCAAATAAACTTTTTCTTTGCTCATTAACGCTTAAAATTCAATTAACTGGACAACCAGGTGTTGATAATCAGCATCGTTTTCGAGCTCATCCTCTTTTACCTCAACCACTTCGACTTCGAATTCGAATTGAAGATACACAGATGAAACATTCATCTCTCATCATTGAACAAGTAAAGACAGTTTTGTTGAAACGAAGAAAAGTTGCAAAATCGAGTATTTTTAGATAAATCGACCGTTGATTTTGCCAACACAAGATAAATTAATCGATAAATTTCATTTATCTCTATTAAATGTTCTCGGTTTCGTTTCGGCTGATGATTGTTCAACTGACATTCGATACTTTGCTTTCATTTATCATTTTAATGATCCTGATACCGACGATCCTCTCATAAAGTTTATATTTGGATGTGACCTTTCATGCTTTCATTTCTCAATATGGGATAAACAGAAGATTAAAACATTAGGAAAACAGGCGAAAAAAGAAAATCGAACAGAATTAATTGTTCATGAAGATATATACAGTTCAATTATAAGTTGTTTTGCATTATTTGATGAACGTTCTCAACTTCATGGTATCCGAATTATCATCAAAACAAGCACATCACAAACTGTACAAATCATTCCATTGCGACCTGACGAAATTTTCGAGAAATATCATATTTTTTAGAAGTAACATTTCGATGAGTCATCATGAAAATTTCCATCGGATAAAACTGTTTATCTTCTTCCTTTCTTTCTATATGTCATGATGTTCTCCATAAATAAATATCGTAATCTTCGTAGTCTTTTCTATTGACTGTCGCCTTGGATTTCATCATTAACATCGGTGCGCCTTTATCAAGAAAAAATGCCATATAACAATATCCTATGTAACGGAATTAAAGCTGATTAACCATGGAAAGACGATTCATTTTGTTATTCCAACAACTATGGCCCCTCGTTATAATCCTTTGCAACGTAGAATTTCGTCGGATTCTGAAGAAATCCAACATAGGATTCGAATATCAGATTAACGGACTTAGGATGTTAAAACAGCATCCTATGCAATGGAATTTCGACGTCAAATTGAATTCAATCAAGAAAACTTTTGTTCAGTTAAATTCACTCAGACGAATACGCATTTAGATCGTTATATTCTTTTCGATATTCGGTTAAATGAACGACGTTCAAAAACAATTATAGCATGTAAATCTCAGATATTTATTTCAGCATCAAGTGAATATGGTACATGTTAGACAATGGTTTTTTGGGAAAATTTTCTTCTTTAGCGCAAAAAAACAAATTTTCGCTGAATCGAATATGTTGATTGTGCTTGAATATTTCTATTTTTAATTCAGCTTTCTTCGCCTTTCAGAATACTTCTTAGATCCCAATCCTAGCATAGAATGAAGTTCTTCGAAAATGTGATGAAAATCAAACAAAACTTATCATTTCTAACAATTGTACGATTTCACTGATGGTTTTTGTGCGATCCGCATAAGGTACAGTTACCGTCTCGCTGGATTGCACCTAATGCCAGTTTCGAAACCAAAGCTTCAGCTTTCTAACGAGCAGAAAGACCAATAGGAACAGCACTACATTACTGGTAGCTTACATCGTCAGGAACTCATGCCCCATGTTGTAGAAGATGTACAAAATCAATCGGTTTTTTAGCTAATGACGGTGTTATAAACGAATCGTTTTGAATATCTTTAGGATCTAGAGTTAAATGCTCAAAAAAATAGAGCAAAAATTCACGTTCTACGAAATGAATCATTGGCCTCATGACCTAAATAAATCATATAAAACAGAATTCGTTTCATTGAAAATCTTAAACAATTTGCGTTTACTTCCTCATCAGCATCTAAATCGTCATTGTCACTCAGGGCAAACAATCCGGTCCGGAACCAGCCAGTTCCAGGATCTTCCAGAGATTTCATGGAAGCAGTATTCCACTTACTATATCCTGTCGTCAGATTTACCCGGTTTTCTTGGGAACCGACAGGAACCTGTCATAACTGACTGATACGATCCCGGGTTCCCTCAACAGGATTCCAGGTATTTTCCCATAGTATCCAACGCGGAAATCATAGATCTTCTTCAGGTATTCACCGGAAATAAACAGAATCCTGCTTCCATGAACTATCGTCCTGGGTCGTTCTTATATTCTGTTCAGACGTTTTTCCTTAACACATTCTCAAAAATACTGACCGACGATAAGTTGGTGCGTGCTATGCTATTATAGATTTTTTTCTGCGAATGTGAACAATTTTCCTAAGGTCAACTATCGGCTACGCGATGGTGAAATTTCTAATGTTAATGAAGTTCTTGATTTATGTCGATCGATGTCAAAATCATCTCGAATCTTTTCATTTGGTTTAGGAACATCACCAAGTCGTTCATAAGTCAAAGGTTTAGCACGTTCAACGAATGGCCGTTTTTGTTTTATTCCACCATCAACAAAAGTTGATACATATGTTGAACAACAATTAGAAAAAGCACTTCAACCATCCATCAAAAATACTGAAATCACAACAACATTAAAAGTTCTTCCACCTGTTAATGCAAATGATCGTTTAATTATTCATGCATTTATTAATTTCTCCAAAATGGAAGATACCCACGGCAAGATAAGTTTTTGAGATTATAAGGATGCTTTTGAGATTATAAGGATGCTTTTGTGATGATGTGCTGTTTCAAAATCTCGAATTATTAATTTCAAAAAACATACTATTGAATAAACTTGATCATATATTAAAACTGCTCAATGATATCATCTAATAATTCATCAATAAATTCATCAATTATTAAAATTCAAATGGCAATCGATAAATATGTGAAATTCTTTTTATTTTATTTTTATTTGTTTTCTTTTATATTTCAAAGGAGCATAAAAGAATTCGTCTTTAATGAGACCGAAGTATTTGGATGTTTTTCACCTATTACATCTTGTTATTTCACGATCAAATCGTTCAATTGACAATCCTAAATAAAATGTAAAATGCTTAGAAAATGTTGAAGGAAAATAAGATAATACTCACATTTTGAAGTAAATCGATAATGTCATTGACCGTTTTCGTTCGATTGTTGAAGGGCACTGTCACCTTTTCACTACTCTGTTTTCTGAACCATTTTCGAATGATTGTATCTGTTTCCTAAAGATTTAGAGTATTTACAACATAAAGCTACTTTCGGATGACTTACTTCACCAGACATTGATCTTCCATCTTTGAGGAGATATACAAAATCGTTCACTTTCTTCGCTAGAATGGGCGTAACAAACGAGTCGATTCTTGGATTTACGCCGTCCACACATAAGAATTCCACATATTCAACTAATAATTGAATTGTAAGAACATGTTTTGTTGGTGTCGACGCCATTTCCTAAACGATATAAAAACAAGTAACGCTCATCTGTTGGATTCGCTGACCCTTTTCCGGATACTGATCACATTCAGAGACTTCGAAAGAGAAAAAACCCACTGCGATTGCTACTAGTGCTCAACTGAATCATGGCACTATGCCACACACTAGAATGAATAGGATGCAAAAGTCTTCTTAGGAATCAGACCCATTAGTCATTTGTCAGTGGATAATTCTCCAGCACTAACTATGTTGACTGAAAAATTCATCACTCAACGGCTAGTCAGACGGCTACTTACGGCCAACCATTGACCTTGTCATCTGTTTTTCTATTTTAACATCACGCGCATGGAAATTTTCATAAATGCTTTACTAACTCACTCATAGACGGACGATATACAGTACAACTACTTGAAAAGTTTGAACATTCGCTTGTGTCTTCCAGCGATAAACCGATTCTTTTCTCTCCTGTCAACAAAATGATACCCTGCCAAATATTTTCATTGAGGAATATCCATTCGTCAAATCCCTTTCAAAATTATCGGAAGCCTAAGCCTGGCAAAGTTATTCTAAGCGTACACTTTAGGATTAATCTAGCATTTAAACGCCTAGTCGTTCGTCGACCTCCCTCCGGTCGGTCACTCACGGCTAGCCATTGCCATGCTGTCTCTGTTATTCCTTTCGTCTTTGTTCCACTTTCAAACTGAACGATTGGGTTCTCTTTTATTGTCGATTCGATACTCATGATGTTCTATTCATTCGACTACCAAAAGAAACTAGATCAGAAAATCTTATTGTATGATTTGCTTCGAAACGAAAATCTTTCATAGTGCCGCATGCGCTCGGAATACTGTTTGTATAGTCCACGCGTCGGTAGTTACTAAGATGGAATTTCACCGACGGGTATATCACTTTGCAAACTACTTCTACTAAATTCCCATGAAAGGACATGATGTATGTAGCCTACAAAACAAAGATGATACTAAGCTCATATCATTTTTTCGGATTTCTAGAATTAGAAACATCATTATGTACAATGCATTAGATCTTTTCGTATAAGTTCTTGAGCTACTATCTTTTTGTACGCATGACGTCCATGAATAGCGTTCAGCGCACCATCTTCTACAAAAGATTTTAGAACAGATAAAGAAAAAATATCTCCTTTGTAAAGAGGAAGGAACAAGCCCAGGCTGAGCGAATAAAACGAAATTCACCCTCAAACTCGAATTTCCCGACATCAGGAATCCTTCGGTCTACTCTGACAATGGATGTTAATAAGTCTTGGCTAGTTGATGAAAAATGAATAATTAATTAATCAACACTAACCTCGGATTCGTGATCTTCGACCTCGATTACCCTTCGGTTGACCCTTACTCGACAGCCAAGAAAATTTTCATTACTTAATTAGCTAATGAGCTAATTAGAATTTCGAGAAACTAACCTCGGATTCGAGATCGTCGACCCCGATTATCCTTCGGTCAACCCTTACCCTGCATATTAATAATTTATGTCTAGCTGACAGATAGTTAATTAATAGTTAATAATTCGTTAAAACTCACCTCAAATTCAAGCTCCCCAACCTCGATTACCCTACCGATAATCATTTTCTAACAGCTATCGATCAATTTCATTGATTTTAGAAATGCTGATTTCTGATTGGATAGGACAGACAGACAGACAAGCTTTAAGCTTTTTAACACAGCATTTAAACGCTATATAACCCTTTCTTTCAGAAAAGGGAATAACTGGAAGATGGGAAATATCCTGTGAATATTCCATACGAATTATGACTACATGGAATATTCCTTTAGGATATTTCCAAAGAGGACCAGACAACCGGGTTTATTCTTATCAAACAACGTCATCATTATGACTCACCAATGACTTTCTTATACCCAGTCTTACTGCATATATAAAGATAGAGAAAAACAAGATAGGAACACATTTACATAGTCAAAACGATGCTTCGAATCAAAAGTATTTTACTGGGAGGAAATAATGTTTCTGTTCAAGACAAATTTGTTCCTTTGAAAGAAGTTCATATTGAAGGCAAGATTCATTCATTTGCAGCTGATGTAACAATTAAACAAATCTTTCGAAATGATGAAAACAATCCAATCGAAGCTGTTTATTGTTTTCCAATTGAAGAACAAGCTGCAGTTTACAAATTCATTGCACAAATTGATGATCGACAGATAGAAGCTGAATTAAAAGAAAAAAAACAAGCACAACAAGACTACAATAATGCTCTTCAACAAGGACGTGGTGCATATCTACTCGAACAAAATGAACAATCACAAGATAATTTCATTGTTAATATCGGTGCACTTTTACCTGGCAAAGAATGTCATATAACAATCTCATATGTTACTGAATTAAATCTGATTGATAACGGAAACAAAATTCATTTTGTTATTCCAACAACAATTGCACCACGATACAATCCATCACAAGGTGGAATTTCATCACCAGCTCGAACAAATTCTGAATATGTACAAACAACACCATATACAATTGATTTTCAATGTCAAATTGATAAAACAAATGTATCAAGTGTTAGTTCAACATCACATCCCATTCAAATTGAATTTAATCAACAAGATTATTATCTGGTTAAATTCAGCCAAAATGAAACACATCTCGATCGAGATATTCTTCTTGATATTCATTTGAATAAACAACGATCAAATACAATTTTAGCAATCGAATCAAATGCTTTGATGATTTCCTTTACACCAAATGAACAAGATTGTCAACGTGCAATGAATAATGTCGAAGTTACAAATGAATTTGTATTTATTGTTGATTGTAGTGGATCAATGCAAGATGAGAATAAAATTGGTTATGCTCGACAATCAATGGTACTTTTTCTTAAAAGTCTCCCATTAAATTCACATTTTAATATTATTCGATTTGGATCGAGTTACAAACCATTATTTGATCAAGCAACTGATCTTTATAATGAAGAGAATTCGAAAAAAGCTGAGCAATTGGTTAATAATATGCAAGCTGATTTAGGTGGAACAGAATTGGTAAGTGAAAAAAAATGAAATCTATTTTTTTAAATCTAAAAATTTACTTTTACTTAGTTAAATCCAATGAAATGGCTTGAAGAACATCCAGCACAAGAAGGTCGTTCTAGACAAATATTTCTTTTAACCGATGGTGAAATTTCCAATGTTGATGAAGTTTTGAATTTATGTCGATCGATGTCGAAATCATCGCGAATATTCTCATTTGGTTTAGGTCAATCACCAAGTCGTTCATTAGTTAAAGGTTTAGCACGTTCAACCAACGGTCGTTTTTGTTTTATTCCACCATCAACGAAAGTTGATACATATGTTGGACAACAATTAGAAAAAGCTCTTCAACCATCGATAACAAACCTTGAAATCAAATGGAATTTACCCATCGAAATCGCGACTGCACCAAAAGTTCTTCCACCCGTTTATGCAAATGATCGCTTAATTATTTATGGATTAATCAATGATCCAACAATTGTATTTGATCATCAGATTCGAATTGAATTATTTAATAACCAACAAAAATTAAGTGAAGCAACAATAACTCAAATTCCGGCGATTATTCAAAATCAAACAATAAGTCGTTTAGCTGGAAAAGCTTTGATACTCGAATTGCAACACTCTAAATTACCATCAATCCCAAAAGGATCAAGACAAACAAGATTTCGAGAATTAAATCAACAATCAATTGACAAACAACAGGAGGAACAGAGAGAACGTATTATCAATTTATCATTAAAATATCAAATTCTTAGTCCTCATACTTCATTTATTGGAATTGAAAAACGTTTAAACGGAAATAATGAACAAATGGTTTTACGCGAAGTTCCAATTCAAATTTCAGCTGATGATCAACATTTAGTTCAACCAGCTCCAACAAACGGTGCGTTTATGCAATGCGCAAGTTCTATGCGTTCACCCTTATCACATATGTTCGCCAGCATGGCTTCTCATAAAGATCGCTCCGATAGGAGAGGTCGGCATAAAAAACCTATTTCAAACTACCTTGGTTGTTATTCATCACGTGATATTTCCTTGCATTGCGCTAAGCAAATAGCGTGCATGTACGATGCATTTGAAATAGACGAGTCCAGAAAAGTCTTTCTAGACGATGACGAAGAGTCCGAAGAAAAATTTCCAAACGATGACGAAAACATTGTTCGTTATTTAATCGATAAACAAAATTTCGATGGCCTTTGGAATTTGGATTCAGAAATCATTGAAAAATTAACTGGAAAACCATTAAAACAATTTCAATATTCTCTCGATGACAAATTAATTGTTTCAANCGATGCATTTGAAATAGACGAGTCCAGAAAAGTCTTTCTAGACGATGACGAAGAGTCCGAAGAAAAATTTCCAAACGATGACGAAAACATTGTTCGTTATTTAATCGATAAACAAAATTTCGATGGCCTTTGGAATTTGGATTCAGAAATCATTGAAAAATTAACTGGAAAACCATTAAAACAATTTCAATATTCTCTCGATGACAAATTAATTGTTTCAATTATAATTGTCATTTTATTGGAAACTCGTTTTTCATCATATTCATCAATGTGTCATGGAATGATACAAAAATCCAAGAAACAAATTCTCAATTTATTGAACAAAGATCAAAATCACTTTGAATCTCTATTTCAACAAATTCAAAAACAACTTTAAATTGTTTCATCGATATTTCTGTTTTGCTTTTACCGAAAATAAAATCAAATCAAAGATTTATATGTTGAAGTTTTATTAAAAGAAAATCACGGTTAAATGCTTGTCTAAGACTAACACTTCGTAAATGAAGTAAATAGAAGAAAAAACCAACGAAAGAATAACAATAAATAAAAAGAAAGAAAGAATCAGAAATATCTATTTGACTAGAAGAATTTCTCGTTGAATTTATTTCTTTATTCGATGTCCATTTGTAGTTGAAGATTGAGTTAAACCACGAACAGATGTTCCATTATCTAAAAAGAAATAAAATATATTGAAATCTTTCAGTTTTTATTCTCATTTCTTTTCATTGAAAGTGATTTGTGCTAAATCGTGTTCCCCGTTGAAATGACGCATAACAAATCTTTTGTTTAATTATAAATATGTCTTACCGTGGATGGTGCTTCGATTTTCGGAGCGTCGAATAACGACGAGGAACACCAAATAGCACAAACTGATTGTATATGTTATTGCAACAAAAAATTTATCAAAAAGCCAAGTAAAATGATCGTTTGATTTCTTAGCTAGAGCAAAATCAATTACAATACAAATCAAAGCAAAGTATTTTATTAACAAACAATTACCCACCTGTTAATGCATTTTCGGGTAAAATTTTTAAATCTAAATCAACAATCAAAGTAAAATGAAGAGTAAACCATTAAGAAATCGAACCTTTTTTTTCTGTTATAGATGTTTTTATTGGAATATCATTGGATGATGATGCAGTTGTTTCAGTAACTACTTGACTTAGTATTGTTGGTCCAGTCATATCACCAACACCTATTTTCAAATCGTTTTACACATATATTGATGAGAGTTAGTTGATTTACCTTGAGTGAAACTTGTAACAATATTGGATTTAACTGTCCAATTTGTCGGAGGAACGTGTGAAGAAGGAACTGGATCACTTAGTAATCTAAATGAATGATTTAATTGCAAATTGTTGATGAGAAAGAAAATGAAACGAACGGAGATGATAAAACACTTTCTTTGAGAGGTTTTTGTATTGAAATTGTTGTTTTAGGAGGTTCTTCGATAATTTGTTGTTTAACATTTATCGTTTTCGTAGGTTCTTTTATTGGAACATGTTGAACTAATGGAGTTTTAGGAATATTTGTTATTTGTTGTAATGGAATTGATGATGTTTTTGTTGAATTTGTTGGAATTTGTCTTAATTGTGATGGATGATATTGTTGAGGAAGTTGAGCGATATTTCGTTCTAATTGTTGTTGAATATTTGAAAAAGAATCTCGACCAAAATAATCAATATGACCTGCTTCCCAAGCACGACGATGTTCAGCTGAGCCCAATTCAACACCAGAATTATTTGTTAAGTTTTCATATTGAAATGTATTTGAATATTGACCAAGAAAATTCTGTTCATTAGAATTCAATGAATTATTTGAATTTGAAAGCTTAAAAAAAAGAAAAGAAGGATAATACTATTCAATGAAAATGATGTCAAATTACTCGACTAAATCGTGTTAATATTGGCCAAACATGTTGATGCATAATTCTCCACCAAAAAAGAAGAAAATCTCTTTGAATATCACTTTGTCCTGTTAAATTTCCCGACAATTGTTCATTTTGTGGATTATACGTTAATTGCCATGGTTTTGTTGCACCAGCAAAATGAACAACATGAATATCATTACGGAATCTAATTATATCGAGAAAAAACATTTATTTAATTTGTATTTCAATTCAATACTATTCTTACCGTGTCACTGCAGGTAAGTACGAATAAAATGCATTTGCTGTGACATTGTATGTAAATGGTAAATGTCGAGATATATCTCCTGTTCTCCAATTTGAAAAGAAATCATTTAGAAGACCTTGATCACCACCTAACAATGAACAAATGTTTTATTTTAAAGATTAACTTTATCTTTATTTCATAGGAAACGAACCGTCGAACGATGAATTTTGTTGTGATGCAAAATTCATTAGTTGTCTGAATGTTTCTTTTGATGGTTTGAAGACAAATACACCTGAATTGAAACAATCAGGCCAACCAGCATCAGGTGCAGCTGACAACTCTTCTCTTTGAAATAAATCATCAATGGGACGTCGAACAACACAATCGGAATCGAGAAAAACGCATTTTTCATATTGTTCTAATAACCAACAATTAATTTTTGTAAATGTTATTCCAAGTTCTGGTCGAGATAATAAAGTTAAATGTTCCACATCATTCGAATTTAATTCTTCAACAATTACTAATTCATCGAAACTTGTTTCTAATGTTTGTCTAAACAAAATCTTTAGTTTTTTAAAAATTTCTTAACAAGATTTTTAAACAACTTACTTGATTAAATCAGATAAATGATTTGATATCAGTACAACTAGTTTTGCACTTGTTCCAACTTTTCGNTGCACGATGATTATTTTTTCGATTATCTACACTTCCAAGTAAATGATGAATTGCAGCTAAACCAGCTAATAATGTTGGATTATCTTTAAGAGAATTATCATTAAATAAGAATCGTGCGAAATAATCGGCATGTAAATAATCACCATTTGCTAATAAAAGTTTTCCAAATTGAATTAAAGTCGCAGGACTTTCAATTTGTGTTTTCATTTCTTTGATTAATTTTTGAAATTCATTATTTTCTTCTTTATCAATTGAAATCAAATGAATATTCCAATAAATATTTTCGTCAGATGAAATTTGTTCAATCGATTCGATTTGATAAACATTGTCGAATGGAAGTAAAACTTCATTTGAAGATTCACCAAAATCAATTCCATTTTGTGATCGAATTGTAAAAAGAACTGTTTCATAATTTGATCGAAACTCCAATGTTGATGGTTTTGTGAATTGACAAAGAAGAAAATTCGCGAAAGAAAGAAAATCTTTGGAAGATGTTTGAAATTGTTCGAGTTGATTTGATGTCAAATATTTGAGTTGATAAACAGGTTTTGAAAGAGGACTTTGACGATTTAATCCTTGTAAAATCCAACGAATTTTGTATAAAATATCGATTTCATTTGTTCGACATGCACGATTGAGCATTTTTCGACAAAATGAATCTTTTTTGAACCAAAAATGAAGATTTTCTTCCGAAAACTCTTTTTCTAATTGATCGATAAGTTTCATTTCGTTGAAATTGTCTTTATAATGTAATCGACAATAATCAAAATAATCTTTTTTCAAATTTGCATCTTCATCTTTTCGTAAAAGTGTTTCTTTCAATAATTGAGAATAAATGAACGATTGATTCGACGAAGAAAATTCTATTGAGATTAATTCATTGTCAATCGGATTTTCTCTTCGAATTTTCTTCAAAAGATCTTCATTGAAAGAAGTTTCACGATAAATTGAACTAAATTTCGATGATTCATTCGACAAATCTTTGTTTGTTACCAAAAGAATTCTTTCAACTTGTAACGTTTCAATAAATGAATTCATTTCTTTGATTTCATTGAAAACTTTGCAAAAATTCGCAATTGAATAAAGTTGTGTCATTTCAATATCAAAACCAAAAACGATGACAACAAAATCTTCAACATTTCCTTCATATCGAGCTGCTATTGTTTCCTGAATTTCCACTTGAGCAACACCTTCAAATTGCGTTAAATAATTCCAAAATTGAAAATAAAAAAAAACCAAATTACATACCATTTCGAAGAAACGATAATAATGCCTGTAAAAATCCACTATTATTCCCATTGTTATCAATTTCTGTTTGTGATGGTTCGTCTGGAGAATTTTCTTAGAAAAGAAAAACAAACTTTTCATTGTCGAATCTGAACTTCACAAATCAATTCAATGGACTTTTTTTCTTTTACATCTTCCTATTTCTTTTCTTTATATTTTTATAGGAATAAATGAAAGTAGCGTATACGAATTAATTAGAAAGATTGTTTTTACCTTTTGATTTTTGTTGTTGAGTTTCTTGTTCATCAAGTGTTGTGGAATTTTCTAAAATTTTTTTCTAAAAAAAAACCTTTCAAATAAGAATGAATTAAACATACGATTATGATTTGAAGTTTCATCTTCTGACTGAGACTAAAAGTTTGTTTTCAATCGAATATGTTTTCATTCGAAAAAAAGAATTTGTTTCATACATTTATTCGTTCATCAACAATTTCATGTTTTTCTTCATTTAACCACATTTTCTTTACCTCCATCTGATTCTTTTTTTTCTTCTGAAAAACAAAAAAACTTCATGAAAATTTCAACAAAGATTTTTTTCTTCTCACTTCTTCCCGTTGAATTTGTCTTCGACACCTAAATTGACCAAAAAAACTCCAACACCGAAATGAATTTTTCTTACTTGTGACACGGAATTGTTTTGTCAATACGTTCAATAGTAAACGAATGTCCAAGTCGAATATCACCTTGACAAAATTTGTATTCACAACAATCTTTGAAATGTATTTCCAAATAACCATTGACATATAATTTAATATCAAATGGATATTCACGAACATGTCGAGATTTGAACGAAAAAGTTTCTTTAAAAGAGAAAATTTTTCGAAAGGAAAATTTTAAAAAATCGTTGTTTTTGTTTGTTTTACCATTTTTTTGTAAATAACCTTTGTAAATAATTATTGATCGATCATATTCATCGATTTTTTGTTTGATGACAATTTCATCAGTTTTAGTTGATCGAGATTTGGAATCTTTTCGATATGTAACAACGACTTGACACGCTTGACAAACATTTTTCTACATTTCAAAATCATTTTCGATAAATTTTATTCGAGAAAATCTACAATTACCTGCGAATTGTCAGCAAAAGACTTTAAAGAAGATCTTTGTTTATACTAAAACAAAAGAATTTCGAGAAAAATTCTTTTTTCCCAACTTACTCGATGATATTCATCATGATCATCATATAACGAGAAAATATTTTGAAAAATCTCTCTTAATCGTTCATTTCGATCAAATCGAGTTGGATTTCTTTTCGATGAAACATATCGTTGTTGACGATTTCTCTTTGAAAATAAACATAAAAACATGTTTTAACTGAAAAAAATTCTCTTTATTTAACATACGAATGGTAAATTATCAAAATCTCTAAATGAAAAATGAATTTTAATATCAAAATAAGACAATTCTATTAAATACAAACTCAGATGACATGGAATGTCGATTGTACATAACCGTTGTCGAAATATCGTTAGGAAGAAGAAAAATAAATTCCTCGTGTGTGTGTGAATGTGTTTTGATGTTTAATGAAGTAAAGAAAGAAAGAAAGAAAAACACTTATATACACTTGTTCTGCTCTTTTTCTAAAAGAAAGTATTCAGTTTGATTTCAGAGAACAAAAAAAAAGGAAGGAAGGAAGAAAGATAGAAATGACTTTGACGTCTTTTATGAATCATTTTCAATGTCTTCATTCAAAAGAAGAATTTTTCTCAAAGAAAAAACGAAGCTTTTTTTGCACATTGGTCTTTTCCATGTTGAGTTTATCATAGGAAGAAGATAAGAATCAACTTATATCTTTACAGTTGTTTTTCTTTTTTAATATAAAATTATTCATTTTTGTTTGATGATTTTAACATTTTTAGAAATGAAAATACTTAAAAATGAGAAGAATTTTCTTTTCATGTATTTCCTTAAATTAATGAAATTTAAAAAAAAAAGAATTCAGTTGTATTTATTCAATTTGAAACATAAAACTTATCTAAAGATTATCTTAGTTCTGAGTTTGTAACAATAAATCGCTGGTTGAATCTTCATTGTGGATTAGTTTTTCATTTTCAATTAGAATAAAACGAATCTATTGTTCGTATTTATCGATCCGAAAGACTTTCCAACCAAATCATTTTCTTATTTTCAACCAATCAATGAATTCGAATAAGAACATTTCTTTATCGATCTACAATAATTTGTTTTCGGCAAATAAATTGAGTATTTTCAGAAAGAATTTTCCATAGATTAGTTCTCTTCTCTAATCTTTTCGAATAAAATCAATTTAAAGTAGATCTAAATGGAATATTTGGGTATTACAAAGGATTATTCGATCTCAATTATTCAATGAAACGAATAAAAGTAAAGAATTTCTTTTTTTCTGTCTGTGAAATTCTCGAGGTAAAGTGAAAGATTTGGAAGTCTTTCCAAGAATCGTTAAGTTCATTTGTGTACAAAATTAATTGAATATCTCTTTCTTTCTCGTTCTGATAATACGATTTTATTTCTAAAAAAAGTTCGTTTTATTTTCTTCTAAATGACGACGAGATACTTTGCGTTTGATAAGAAAATGACAATTCCATTTGAATTATTTCCAAAAACAAAAATGTCGAAGGAGATTGTGAAATCTTTGTCGAAATTTGGAACAAAAAACCGCATAAACGATTGGATTTGATGCCGAACTGATTGTGATTAAAAGCATCGTTAACGCAATAAAATACGATGTTTGAATAAATTGCGGAACAGGACGAATTGTATTTGTTTGAAATAAAAGAAAAACCAGAACTTGTGGACTAAATGAAATAAAATAAATCACAATAACGACAATTAACATTTTAATAATATTTCGACGAGATTTCAAAGTATTTGAATAAATTTGATAAAATTTATCTTCATTCGATTTCTTTTCGATTGAGAATTGAGAATTATTTAATGATGAAAACAATTTTGGTGATAAATGTTTTGATTTCACATTTATTGATGAATGAACATAACTGTCAGTTCGTGTTATTCTACTTGTCAAATTTTCTTCTTGATCAATTTCATTATCGAAATCTTCCTAAAGAAAAAACAAACAAACAAATTAGATTTCTTCTTTTCAAAAATGAAATTCTTCACCAATGTTCGATGATAATTCGAGATTTGATTTAAAGGTAAAGACGATTGAAGTGTTTGATCAACATAAAATAATTTTGTTGCAATTCGACAATAACAATACAATTGTAAGAAAAGTGGAATAAAATAAAAAATCATTGATTCAAGTGATTTATGAATGATATAATATCGTTGATTATCTGGGACATTTTGAGAATATAAAAGTGAACATGAACGATGTGTTGATGAATGAGAAATAACACGTAAATAGATGAAATTTGGTGATACACAAATAAATGAAAAGATCCAAACAAAAAATGTCACATATCTTAAATGTTTTCTTTCTCCTAAAAATTTCGATCGTAATGGATGAACAATTCCAAAAAATCTTTCAATTGTAATTGCGCACATTGTTAATACAGATGCATATTGAGCGAAAACAAGTAATGATCGAATTAATTTACATGAAAATTCACTCAAAAGCCAATTTCCATTTCTTGATAAAACAAATTGAATTAAATCAGGAAGATTTAATAATAAAATAATTAAATCACAACAAGCGACATGAACAATCAATCGATTTGTTAACGATCGTTTCATTCGAGAATCAAATTGTACGGAAAAAATAACGAAAAGATTTCCAATAATTCCAACAATATCGATTAAAAAGAATAAACATGTTAAAATATAATAATTAACAGTTAGATTTAAAGATAATGATACATTCAAATCACTTTTATTCATTTGTCTCTTTCGAAAAACAACAATAGAGGAATTTTTTTTCTCGATGTCAAATCTAAAAACAAAACAAATAGTTTTCTCGTCTTTTATGTTATTCGAATATAGAGAAGAAGGAAAAAAAGAACTCATTTTTATCTCTGAAAACACAAGAAATCATCTGAATGAAGCAAAAGAAACTCTTTCAACTGATCTTATCTGAAGAGAAAAAAGACAAATCAGCGAAAAAGAACTGAATAGCCTTTCCATAAGAATAACAAGAAGAAATTCAATGAATAATTGTTCGACATATCTGAAAAGAAGTACAAATGTGTGTTGTTCTTTCATCGATAAAAGTTTATTGACATATTTTTTCTTGTGAAGACTATTTGTCAATTTTGATTAATCGAAATGTGAATATGATGATCTATTTTATTCAATAAACAAAGCAAATTTCTAATTAAATCAAATCATTCAACCAACATATATCTCTAAGGAACGAATATTCTTTTTCTTACAAATTAATTATAAACTCATTTTAGTTACTCTCGATGGGATTTTTTTTCAAATAATCTCAAATAGAATAAGAAAATTAATGAAACTCATTGATTTTTCCATGGAAGATTGTAAATATTTGGAAAACAATCATTTTCTTTATCAGATATTTCTCGTATCTAATTCATGTGGATTAATAAATTGATTTATCTTTATTAATGTCTACTACACTCTTTGTTGTGTTAAAATATCAAATCTTTCGTTTCTTTTCCCTTTGAATGACAAAAGAATTCTTTCCACGAAATATATTTTGAGAAATCGAATAAATAAACTCACATTTGGATAAAAAGATTCTTCATATTCATCTAATCATTGTGGAATTTTTCTCTTCGAAAATCTTTGCGTAATATCCAAGATTGATTTCATAGAGTGTTTTGTCCTTTTCTCTACATTGGAAAATTGATGATATTAGCAGAAGAGTATAAGAATCATCATCACCATAAATATTGACAAAACTAAGTATTAACAGATGGAAGGAAGTTATGTTAATCTTCAATATAATCGATAAGAGAATATGGAATGACGAGGAAAGGAAAAAGGCAAAGATCAAATCGTTAACTGATCTTATTGATAAGAGAATCAACAAAAGAGAAAAGCGAGAATAGCTGGAAGAGAAATGGAATCTCGTTTTCTTCAAAGAGAAAAGAAAAGAGAGGAAAATCCATAAACCATTCATAATTTCATATTTTATGTTAAAAACAATTCATTTTCTTTTCAAAGACATTGTATTGTGTAGAATTATTCCGATTAAATATATTCATTCAATTTACCTTGAACATCTCAATTAATTTTGAAATGATTCTACAAGATTTTCGTCATCTTTTTACCATTAAAGTTCTCTCGATAAAGTACGTTTCAATTATTTATTCGAATTATTTTCAAATGTGATATTTATTGAGGAAAAAACAAATCTCTCTCCATCGAGGATTTTTTCGAAATAAAACCAAAATAATTAGAGTTATTTTAAACAAATGAATAGTTTTTAAATTAATTTGGCCGACGTTTTAATAAAAGAATTCTTTTAATCATGAAAACTTTAGGATAAAATTTCTTTGAAGATTATTTTTGTCACTTTCATGATAATCATTTGAATTTAAATAACTAAAATCATCCCAAATGGATAATCTGTGTTTCATTTAATGAAAATTCATTTTGTTGTTTTTCCTTATTGAAACATTCAATAGAATAATCTGAAAGAATAAATTCATTTAATCCTTCGACGTTGGAACACGCATATATACATGTTGAAACTTTATACATATTATTGTGATTAGAATATTATTTAGACTTCAGCGAAAAGATACCTCTCTATTTTTCTTCTATTGATAATACTATTTCATCATCATTTCGTATAACGATGTGCTCTCTCACATTCTTTTCGGAATCAATTGATTCAATAGCTGATTGAAAGACATCTTCACCCTCACTCTTCGTTGATGTTTCAACGAAAATTTGTTTGTATTTGCCCAAAAGGCTTCAATGGCGATCGATGTGAATCAAAGGATAAATTTCATTTAAGTGCGAGGTTTCATGACGAGATTATTCTTTTTCAATCGATATTCATTCATTTTATCGAACTCGTGAAAGAAGCGAAGCCGATAAGAACGACAATTTCTGGTCACAAGTGTTTTCACGATGATATTCACCTGTGTTTCTACGGGAGTCGATGTCAATTTACAACAAAGGGATTCGGTTTATCACTTGACGCGCTATCTTAGGTCATCACATTATCCCAAATTTGACATTTTCCAGCCAATCATCGATCGTTAAGTTTAGTTTAGTATTAATCGTCGTTTTCTTCGTTGCAGGATTGATGAATAGTACTGTGACATTAATGGTTAGACGCGTTTGTCGCCATTCAAAGAACAATGGCTGTTATTCAAGGTGTAAAATCCGATAAGAAAAAAAGTAAGACAACGGCAAAAGTAATTATTATTCTTCTTATTCTGATGATTATCGGTACAAATGTTCATGATTCACTAAACCGACATTTGATTGAAGAAGAAAATAAAGATTTGGATGATATTAAACGAACATGTCGCTATTCGTCGCGGTTACAAATGTACAATACAATTGTCAATTCTTTTCATTTTTTCCTGTCGTTCTTTTAGCACAACTGACGCGTCGACAATCAAATTTACAAGGACAACGAACTTGGAAAGAGTTTTTCTCTGAACAATTTCAAGAACACAAACATTTATTAATCTCCCCAGTAGTTTTAAACATTTTGTCAATAGCGCGGTTAGTCATCTCGTACATGTCGAAATGTTTGAAATCCAACAGTGACTCGTGGTTGTATCCTTGCGGATATTTGGTCTCATTTGTTCCATCGATGATCACATGTTTTATATTCATTCTACCGTCGAAATCTTACAAACAAAAGCTACGAAAAACAATTGGTCATTACCTATCGAGAATCAACGATCATTGATCGAATTCGAATTGTATTTCCTATAAATTCTGTATTTCCCCTGCTTTCATTACTTCATGTTCAAAATAAATGCGGAAACTTTGGATTTTATCCAGAAGTTATGCGCACTTCAAAAAGTGTATCAGACGGAAAATATAAAAGATCACAGTGAGATAGCAGTAGCTTTTGGCACACGGACAACTCGTCGCATGTGTATGCTCTAAGTACTTTATATAAAAACAATTATCTATTATCGGTGGACATAGCTGCATACCCGTAATTTAATTAATACATAAACTACACTATCGTCAACAATTCTTTTGCTAATGAGAAGCGAAAGCGAGTATTATGATAGTATTTCCAACAAAATAATTTCACAGTGTGAACTTTAACGACGGCATCTATAAAAGACATTCATGACTAGCAGATGGGTGGTCTGGGTAAAATAGACCCTCACCCTCTAAATAATGTTTGGCCTTTCTTCTCTTCAGCGATGCTATAACACCGAGTCCTGTGTTCAGTGTTTGCAACAATAGATCGGGAGCAGTGAATACCTCGATATTCTGCTCATATTCTTATTTCATATCCCTGCGGTCTATAATATTTCATTTACATTGATTGTTTGGTGAGGTTAGCCAATAAATAGCTGGAGAATCTTAATACCCTACTTAAACAAGTACACAGAGAATGTTAGGCATTGGCAGAAAAGAACCTGGGTCCAAGTTTGAAGTTTACAGGTCCACGTTTGGTGAACCCGCGGTTCCACACTAATGTGTGTTATTTTTTATGCAATGATTTCTGTACGATTTCATTTTGTTAAAAGAATAAACAACGACAATAATCTCTTTTGTTTTGTCTTTAGACTAAATTAATCGATGTTCGTTGGAATTATCTTCATGAGAATTTCAACTATGATCCCATGTTCATTACCAATGACATTACTTTCACTGCCTTCTCAAAGAAATCTCTTTTCTTCTTCTGCTTTCTAGATTTATATCGTTCAATCGGAATCTATTCATCACACTTAAGAATCTCTCTTCTGTCTCTCAAATCTTCATCTGTATCGATTAATCACAGAATAAATTCTTCGACGAGATATATCAAACATGACTGATAGAGAATGGAGGAGATACTATGGATCAAGAATATTTCTAGTCATCATGCTCATGCCAGGAGAAACAGTTCGATCGACTGTTGTGATGAACGTAAGTCAAAGTAGTGCCCTCTCGTATGAAATATCAAATGACGATGATTGGTGCATGTCAATATCAATGCCATTGTCTCACAGACAGAAACGGAGAGATGCATGACTTGAGTTGCAGTCAACATTTCTTGGTAAGTTATGAACTCATTTTCATCCTCGAATCATCAAGTCTCATTGTTGTGAATTTTATAATTCTTTCGAACAAATGAGGATCTTTATCTGTCCGGTAAGTTTCATAAATTCATTTTCTTCTAGGTATCTGTCGATCATTTTTGTGTGGTAGAAAACTTTGCTTATTTAATTCTTTTCTTTTATGGTAATGAGAGAATCATGAGTTGGTGGATTTGATCTCTCGTTGCAATCTGATTTAGACTGGCTTCAAACTCGGAGCGAAATAAGAAATGATCGTTCCAATTAGATCGATGTCCACGTCGTGTTTTAATGCACAAATTGTAAGGATCATGGTATGACCATAATCGTTGCTGATGTGAATTCGAACATTGTGCTCGTTTTCAAAATATTTCACTTTATCATCGTTGCCAATTACTGTTGCAATATCATTGAAGCCAATCGAGTACTTTTTAAACGGATAACTGGTGAAACCTTTTCTGAGACAACTCTTTTCCCAATCGAAATTGGGCTTCATCAACCGTAGAGGTAAAAGACCCAGTAATGCTGAGTCCAGATTTGGCATGCAATATGCTAAAGCTGAATAAATAATTCCTTCCCAGTATATAAGAACTGGACCGTAGCATTTAGTGGGCACATTTTTCTGTGCGCTCGAAGAAACCGCGACTGTTTTTTTGATACTTCAAACGTTATTGTTCGACCAGTTTCTGAGGCAGAGCAAGTTCACGGCACCCGGTATCGACTTTGATTCTCATGTTGACCATAGCGACTTCGCTGGCTGATAGTTTGCCTTCGGTCTATAGCTGTTGTTCTTCTTCACTCATACGTTTAAAATGAGAAGAGATCGCTAGAAGTTATTAGGTCACAGATCAAAGAGCTTTTCTCTACTTTGTTGTTAGATATATATGAACTGGACAAATGATGTCTATATACAGTCGTGAATAACAATTTTTTCCTTGCGAAAGGAAAGAGAAGAAGACCCCTGGATCAATGAAGAACGCACACACTGTACGCGTGATGACAATTCCAGGGTGAAAAATGATATAAGTTTGATATTTTTGCATGTCAGTTTACAGATAGATGATCATTGAACCTCTGAGAAATGAGAATCTCAAGATTATCCTCGTCATTTATTAGATTATGATTTCTACCTAGTACATCGTGTTCTCTGTTATTCATTGAATTTGTTAACACCGCTTTCGTTAATTGATCTCTATTACGAACCGATCACCTTCTTCATGTTAGCTAAATCAATTCAAACTTTTTTTGGATGTCTTTTCCTTTTTATTTCATTCCGAAGCTCCACTAGCAAAAGTGGTGGACTCATTCGAAGGTTATACATAATCATCTGTCATAGTTTTCTCCAATAGTCATCTCTATTTTCCAGTCTGAGTCGTTTAGAATAGAATTGACATTCTCTCTCTATGACTCACAATTGTTGCCTTTTCATTGTGTTTTAAAGTTCATTCGACGCTTTTACACCGTAAACAGATGGTTGAATTGACAGAGTCGTTATCTTTTGTTTATCTTTATTTTCAGATTCACTTCTGTTTTTCTGCCGATCATATTTAAGCCATGCAATCGGCCAGTCTTGAAGTAACGATCATCAATGGAAAGGATTGCTGCGCATCAGATGTCCATAATACTGATCTATCAACAGTCCGACATGTAAAATTGACAAGAGTTGCCTGGATTCGAGGAACTTTTCAAGTACTGATCAACAGCACGATGAGAGAACGTCTAGGACTTGAACTATCGACAATTGTGACTCCCGATTACTTGGCCTCAGAGTTCACTGAAATTGTTGCTTCTCGTGGTCCACATCCTCTTTGCAAAATGATTTATATCGTCAACCTTTTGACCGGTAACTTTTACATGACCTGCCCAACCTTTGTTGCTGATCTGCCTGTTGATTTTGTGCTCGGAACAATGTATTTTGGATATTTTGATCGAGGCTTTCGGTCAGGTCGTCTAATCATTCTCAGTGAAGAAAGAGACAGAAGAAGACAACAAGAGGAAGAAGAATTACGTCGGCAAGCGTACAAGAATATTTTGTAAGCATTAACTCTCGTTCGCTCTATCGATACATACGAGCCTCACCCAATCCATACGTGTGTATACGTTTGTTCAATTTAGATGTAAATGTGGGTCTTTGTCTGCGTAAGAAGTGATTAATGTCTGAAAGTTATATTCACTAGTTGTTGTTGTTTCTCCGTGATGTTTTTCTTGTCGATTCCTGACACTATTGATGTCGAATGAAAGTCATTGGAGAATAAAAATATCAATTCATTAGTCTTTAGGAGTATTCTTCGAGAAAAAAAACTACGATAATTTTATTTTCATAAACAGAAGGAAACGTTGAACGCCGATCACTGAATACATCTAACGAAACATATTAATCTCAATTTCATGAGCAGTTTTAGGAGAATTCTCACTAATCGTTCTGCGCCGAAAGAACATCGCCATAACCAACAATGTGTTAGACATTCGTAGCTTTGAATTTCGGTCTCAGCAAAATTTTGATTGAATAGTGCAGGGTTCTCTGAATGGATCTTTTCAACGGGGTTCTATATCATCCATTCAATCAAACCAACAGCTGTCGCTCACTGCTGATATTCAATATGCTGTCAATTGCGAAAATGAAAATCGAATGTGATTGATTCATAACAGTTCGCCAGAATCACGATTCATTTCGCTAGTACGGTAATAGGAGTATGATCATAGCCGAACTTCATTGAGAACAAAAATTAAGTCAATCCGCATACGTAGAACTTTTTTGATATTGAGACACGAGAGTAAACAAGTTAATCTAGTCACGGATTCGTTTGGACTGATCAACAAGATATTCGAAATACACATATGGCTCCGCGAAGATACCACGTAGGATACCTTCGGGTAGGATTCGAGAATTCCTTGAACCGAGTCGTTTCAGTGTATGTTCCAACCGAACTAACACCTGTTCCAAGTAGAACTCGATGAGCTCTATCTGTCCCAAATATAAAATTTTGGAAAAAGTCACTCCTTCAACCCGGAAAATCCAAAAAATCGCAAAAAAACACTCAAAAAACATCAAAATTTTAGAAAAGCCCTGGGCGGATTCGCCGTACAACCACCTATTTCGATTTCGACAACTGTTCCAGATCAAGCTCGACGAGCTCTATCGATTTCACACCTGAGTTTTTAGTTTTGACCCATTTATGCCTGGGAAAAACACTAATTATCACGAAATCCGTCAAATATGCATTGACAAAAAAATTCATTTGTTGATTCATCTCAACCAATGGGATATTTTCATCAATAAAATGTCGTGATATGTATAGAATGTAAATGATCTAAACGAAATATTCTATTGGTTGAGGGTCCAATCTGTGAAAAATTTGAAAGGCGGCTGTTTTGTTTGACAAAAATTCATCAATGATGGGAAAATGCACAGAATCGATCGATACAATGTTTTTTGAGTGAAAACACGATTATTTTTTCGAAATTGATTTCCTTTTCTGAATTCATTTTCAGAATCGATGGTGTTGATGTTGATCTTTAGTGTTAGAAAATAATTTCGTCAATTTTTTTCGATAAAATGAGATGAAGAAATTTTGTGAAGAGATTTTCTTGAAAATGAATTGTAGGAATGATAGGAATTGATCAATATGATTAATGCGAAGCAGAAAAAATGTTGGCTTCGAAAATTAGAATAAAAACGAACAATTGAGTTTTTTCTTGGAGAAATTGAATGCAAATGTATATGATGATTTTAAGAAATGCAAAAATTGAAAGCTTTTGAATTAAAAAACAAAGAATTCTTCTTGTAAGTTAATGAAGACGATGAATAAAGCAAGTGTTGGAATTTTTTCAGAACATTTTTGGACGTTGAGTGGCATGATGTTTGCAAGTCGTGTGCAATGAAAATGAAATGAATGAATTGGATCAGATCAATAATAGATTTTTCTTGAAAGAATATTAATTTTGCTTTGATACATCAACCTAGATCAGAACATTGAGAATTATCCGCAGTGCTGTTCAGATAAGAAATGTTCGTGAAGACAATGGTTTTAAAGTTATGTGTGTTACATTTTGTTGTAGTTTTTTAAAAATAAATCGTGTAGTAGAATAGATTTAAATGTACATCGCGTAGATATATTTATAACTGTATTCTTTTGAAGATAAATGAGGGATTTCAAATACTTTTGATAATTTTCGTAACCAATCTTGTCCCAAAATACAAGGTTGAGACAAGGATTTTGAGATGAAGACGGATATAGACGTGGTAATGTGATTAATGTTCAAGTTGATGTGCGCAATACCAGTAATGTTGATGTCGGTATTGCCATCTGCTAAAATGAAACGTTGTTTTATTCTTGTAATGGAAATATGGCGAAGACGACGAATAATTGATTCATGGATAAAAGAATTTGTTGCACCTGTATCAAGAAGGCATGTTAAATGGATATTATTTATGTAGCTTGAAATGAAAGTTAATGATGATGGGTTTGGTATTGATACACAGATGTCACCATCCAACATCTCCGTTATTGTTTTTTTTGTTGCTGAGAAATGGATGATGATGACATTGTATTATTCTTCTGTGGACATGTGCGAGCATAATGCCCCCATCCTCGACACTGATAACATTGAATATCTTTCATATTTGTAGATTTGTTCGATTGTGCTGATGATCTGGAATTTTGGAATTGTTGAAAATTTGTATTCGATGGAACTGCCGGAGAATTATTATTTTGATACTGATAATGAGAATCGAATGGACTTGGCTGTTCACTAGCCGGATAATAATGGTACGAATCATATACCGGGTGGTGATCGTAATAATGATGAGAAGATGTGTAAGAGCCTTGGTCCTTTGAAACTTGACGCATTTCCATCAACTTCTGTATATTTTCCAATTGTTGAACTTTGTTCAAAAATTCTTTTGGTGTTGAATAGTCGTTCTTAATGGCTTCTTGGTACAAGGATAATCGTAGTCCTAAAATGAGTTTACGAATCTTTTGTTTGTCCAACATCGTCGGGTCACATTTGTTGCATAGTTCCATCATATCATAATAGTATTTCATGACGGGTTCGTTCGGGAGTCGTTTTCGTTGATTCACTTGCTCCTCCAATAGATATTCATTCTTTTCGCCAAATTGTTCGATGAATAATTGCTTAAAACATGACCAACTATCAACAAATGATTTAGTTTCTGTCCACCATCGGTATGAATTCGTTCTCAAAAATGCTGGGCCGTATTGAAGACACAGTTCATCTTTATCACCAGGTAAACGAATAATGCCGAAAAAATGATTTATACTAGCAAGCCATTTGCTTGCATCATCTTCAGGATTTCCCGAGAAAGACTTCACAATTTCTTTCATTTTTTGCAATGGATCAATGTTGATAACATATTGGATTGATGGAATAGTGGAGTTATTGGTAGCTAATTGTCGTGGGATATTCATTGAATTCAATGCAATTGTTCGAATATTAGTATCTTCGATTAATAGCTGAGGAATCGAAACCGTATTAACTCGATTGGTTTCGTTTTGGTATAATACTTGCTTTTTGTGATTCTTGTTCTGGACGAGAATGTAAATCGAGTTCCTGTACAAAATCGCGTGAAGAATTTTCCGTTTTTGTGGAAGAACTGGCTGTTAACGAGAGTTCATCATGTTGATTGTTTGATGACATGACTACAGATGGTTGACTTGCCTGATTCGACGCACTTTTGGAGCGCGTAGGGTATTGATGAGCCATCAGGTGTGATTCGTTGTTCAATGTGAGGTGAGTCGTTCACGTCTTGATGATTTGGCCAGTGCACCACTTAGAACGTCGCTCGCTTGCCCCCTCTTCCCTTCCCCCGGAAAGCCGAGCCTATATATATATTGAACCACCGAGGAAAAACCAACACACAACAAGATATAGGATAAATCCCATCTATATATATATCAAACGTCATATAGAAAGGACGACAAGAAAGAATGAATGAAAGCAGAGAATGAAAGAAAAGGACATGGAAATGTCCAGATAATATATATCCTAACAAGTTAAAAGAGAAATCCCTGTGATATACCTCGCAATATTCACATAGACACTATTCAGTCGTCATAACTTAGCCCTATATATACCCAGGGCAATGATTCCGGCTCCCGGATCCGTGTAATTCCAGCAGGAACCCGCGGGAAAAACCAACGGTTCCTGCAGGAAGGCACCGGAAGTCAACGGGAAGTGGAAGCAGGAATCCTTTAGCCGGATCCTGCGGCCATTTTTGCCTGGTTCCTTCCAGCTCCGGAGAGAACCGACTAATTACGTGAGCCGGATCCGTTCGAAGGATTCCTGCTTCCACTTTCCACTGATTTCCGGTGTCGTCCTTCCGGATCCAGCCCGTACTTTTCGACATGGGTACTTTTTCGCGATGGTTCATATATCATTTCGTGCAGAACTTTCTGCTCTTTCTAATGAAACTATTGGGTAGATGATGTGAAAGAAATTTTGTTATGCTATCTTTGAAAAAACACTAGCATAATAGGGTAAAAAATGTGTGAAAATGCCAGGTAGTATTGGCCATCGGAAACCTTTCATATGGTTCTAGATTGACTTGAATTTGGAGTAGAAAAATTCTCCGTCTCATTCTGCATCGTTTTTGGTATTCCTCAAGCTGATTTTGAAATGGGCCGATATACGGTCTTATACGCCCCCGTCCTTTCAAATCCTTTACTTTCATAGGTTTACTGAAAATTTTCTAAGAAATATACAAGTAACGTTCGACTGTGGAACAAAGAAATACCTTTCTCTTTCTGTCTCATTGGCAATACGAACTAGAATCGCATCTTTCTAGGAGAAATAATCGGAATTTTTCATTAAGATCGAACCACTATACTTTCCAAAACTAAGACCTGATTTGACCAGTCCATTGGAATAAATCGATTCAGTCAGAAACTTGTAAGCCTAAACATATGAAAGATCATAATGTGAAATTCATTTAGACGACCTGTGGACTTAGAACTTTAGCATTTTTCGTTATCTACTGTATATTGCATTTCATCTAAAAAAAGAAACTAGACAGATGGTAATCTATAGTCATTTGATGAAAATGAATAAAGTCATCTGGTGTCTTTCACAAAGTTTCCCGGAATTTTCAATTTTATCAAAGAGCAAAAATAGAATGATAGTACTTTGGTTGTGAGAAGGAACTGATAATATATCATAGTCATAGATTATGATTCTATGATCCTTGAAAAAGGAAACCTTTGATAAGATATGAAAGGGATATATAAGCTTTCGAATTATCTTCATATTTTAGTCATCGACAATGCTTATTAAGTGTTTATTACTTGCTGTATTGTTCGTGGTGAATATTGATCAAAAAGTCAATTCACAAACGACATGTCAAACAGTACTCGATTTAATTATTCTTCTTGACGGTTCTGGAAGTATTGGAAGTGGTCCATTTGCTCAAGCTAAAAGTGCAATGGTTGATTTAGTTAGCCGATTAAATGTAGGGCCACAGAAAGTACATGTTAGTATACTTCGTTACTCATCAACTGTTGAAGATTCATATGTATTCAATAAAGTTGGTAGTAATCAAATGAAAGACCAAATAGTTCGAGTGATTAATAATTTAAAATATAATGGCGGTGGAACGGCAACTGGTGAAGCAATACAACGTGCGCGAAGTGTATGTGATGCCGCATGTCGAAATCAAGAAGAATTAGTACCACGTGCAGTTGTTCTATTTACAGATGGTCAAAGTAATAATGCTAATTTAGTTAAAATAGAAAGTGAATTATTACGAGAAAAAACCAAAGCTGTTGTATTTGCTGTCGGAATTGGTAGTGGTGTCAATAATGCTGAATTGCAATTAAGTGCCTCAACACCATACAATAAATATGTTTTACATTTGAAAGATTATTTACAATTAACACAAGTTATTAATCAAATTACATTAGTGGCATGTAATGCTCCTGCATTCAATGAACCCGGTGTAGTTTATAAAAATGAAGTAGATAAAGATACATACCGATTTTATCGAACGGAAATCAAAGGTCTACGATCAGGTCTAGGTGGATTTATGGAAATCGCTGTTAATATCACTCAAGGCAATGTTCGAGTATTTACATCAACGACAGAAGCAAATCCAACAAGTGAAAATACTAGACAGGCCCTCGTTCGATCACATGATGCTAAAAGTGCAACTGATATTTATATGGAATACATACCACCCAACACTTCAACATTTTATTCAAGTTTCCAAGGTATCAGTAATACAAACCAATACACTTTTGTTACAAGAGTAGTGGATATTAACGGTGGTTTAATTGGTTAATTGTGAGAAATGATGGTTGTTTTTAAATTCAAAATATTTTAAAGCTATATTTATTCTTGAAATAGAATAAAACCATTGGACGAATATGAATTTCGAGAATGTGCGTATTCTACTGCAGATATGACTATACGTCTACCTTCATTTCGGTGAAAACTTCTTTTGCCCTTGCAATCACATATGAATAGTTTGAAAAGATTTTGAAGAATTATATTTGAACTAATTTTTAAATTTCTTCCAAAGGTATGTCCAAAGTATAGTTAATAATCAACGTGAATGTGACGATCTTTTTCGCATGCGCTGTACGCATGCTATTTGTCCCTACTTCGGTGCATTTTTGTGTACTTTGGTATTATCCTTCCTTCCTTTCTATCGAGAGAAGGGTATATAAACGTGTGTTCTGTATTAGAACGATGCGATTGATGATAGGAAGAAATAAAGAAAGACATGATTCCATCGGTATACACATCTCTTCCATCAGAAATCGTCACAGTGAATAAAGGATGTTTACTCATTGCCTGTTCAATAGTTTCTTGATAGATTAATGTAAATGTCGGATAATAATTCGTATCGATGGAAAAATATTTGTTTCTCACATAGATTGATCTATAGTATTATTTTGACAATAAATTCCATTATGGCTCAATTGTGATACAAAATCAAGGGGGAAAACCTATTTACAGCCATTCAAATAAAGCATTTTTTAATTATTCTTTTCATTTCAATCTTTCCTCTTTATGTCTATTTACGGTTTTTGTAAGCACAAGTAGCGTTCGTCGTGCCGACTCACTTCGCCCTCGACTGTGGAAGACAGATATACTGTGTGCGTGTGCTATTAATGAGGCGAATCGATCTAGCAACTTCACGTACGATGAAACGGTAAAACTTTTTCTGTTCGACTATTGATTAACTCTCGCAAACAAAATCGCTTATTGTCTTTGTAAAACAAATGTGAGGATATAAAAGGTCTTTTTTATTGTGAATTTATCACCAGTAACGCTGGTCGGGTACTCTCGCTGAACGCTTGGCTGATTTTCTTCCCATTGTACTCTTGTCATTAGAACTATACAAAACATGTATCAACCCACTTATCTCGCAGTCGGGCGTCGACGTCCCTTCAGTCCACCACTCCAGACTGCTCAATATTGCTCATACCATATACACTTTCTTAATAGCAGGCGCTTTCCGTTCCCACCCTTCACACATCAAAAGCATAAAAGATGTTCAATGCATTGTTCATGTATCCTGCACATCTAATTTCACAGCCTTACATCCCGTGATAGCTATCGATCCATTTTATGATTGGCGATAATTATCAATCAGCCTCATCTATCTCCACGTGCTATTCGTGACGTTTCTGTCATTTTTTGCCTTCAATCATGACACAGATAGATACCATTCTAACTACTTTTTCTCAAGAGACCATGTGGCGAGTCTTCGTTCATGTTCCCAATACAGTATTCGCTTACCCAAATTATCGAGTTAGTAAACTCATAGTTGAGGCCTCAAGCCATATCTCGACGCTATAAATATGCTCTTCCGTCGACCATTGGTTCGATCGGAAAAGGCTACTCTTCAAATGGCAACTATTTCGAGAAAAATGATTTTTAATCTTTCACTCTTGGTCCTTCACGCTCACCCACAGCCGTGGCTATGAGGAATCACACCGTGCCACCCGGCACGCACCATTAGCCACATCTTCTAGCTTCGGCCACCACTGGCCGCACACGCGTGCAACTTCAGCCACCTAGCGCGCAGTAGCCCACCATCGCCGACGTTTTGCCACAAACAAACAAACAAACAATTTTATTTCATATGACCCTCGCTACAGTCGAGGGAACAGAACTGGTGATATTGTGGCAATTTATATCCCACTGTCACGTGCGAAACGTTTCACTTATTTAATTATTCTAATATTTTTCGATTACAAAACTTTATTAATGAGACCAACTAAATTGCAACTTGCTGAGATGGAAAGACTAGATAAACTATTTACAGAAACACAACTGCGCTTTGCTCAACATTTCTAACGATCTTTTCCTGTTTCGCCAAATTTTGCTCGTGGCTGCTAGTATTTATGAAATAATGTTATAACCTCTCAATAAAATATGCGTTCTCTGCTCATAGAAATTTTACAAAAAATTAACTATTTTGCTTTCGAAAGTTAATAAATAGTGAAACACAAACATTTTACTCGTTTCATCCTCTATCAAGTTGCTAGATCGATTCGTCACACCAATAGCACACGCAGAAAGTATCTGTGTTCCACAGTCCAGGGTAAAGTCAGTCGACACGACGAGCGTTACTTGTGTTTCCTTGTTGATTGAAATGAAGATATACAAAAATGCCTTAAACTTTTTTCCGCGGGTAAACATGCCTTTCGTCCTAAAAACGGAACGCATCTATCGTTAATGATTTTAATATGATACTCTTTTAGCATACCATGCGAACTATCGAAATCACTATTTACATATCCTTAATAAGTAGTCTATGGTGAACAAAACAGCAACCAAAAGATGCCTTAAAATCTTTTCCGCCACTTTACCCGAATACGTACGATAGTTTGTCATTCTTTTGTTACTCCTAAAGTCAGTTGCAGTTGCATAAAAGTTGCAACACTGTAGCAATTTCGAATACCTTCCGAAACCACTCCTAGCCACCTCAACCCAACATCAGTGTTATATTCCATTATAAACAAATCGACAGCAAATGAACTTCTAACCTACATAAAGTGCTCACCTTCAGCAACAGCGCCGTCGATCACCGATTCCGATCACATACGTCCACACACCCATCCCACAAAAACCAATAGGCGGTCCCCATCCGCGATCATACGTCCACCCACAGTTTCACCCAAGACCCGCACCCATGCTCATACATCCATCCACAGTTTCACCCTAGACCCCACCGACATCCACCCTTAAGATGCTGCGTTGACCTTTGACCTTGACACAAACAGACAGACAAACAAACTATTTTATTTCATACGACCCTCTCTATAGCCGAGGGAATAAGAAATGAATATTTGTGCTACTTGTATATATTTAATCAACCATAACTTGAGGGTGTGGGTGCAAAGTTTAATGTCAGTATATTCGGAGTGACTGTGCGTTCCAAAGGTCAAAATAAGCTACATATAATTTCTCGCTATATGACTTTTTTAAAACGTTGCTAGAGCAAGAATAATAGGTTGTCTTCGCTCTAATAACGTTTTAAAAAAATTATATGTAGCTTATTTCGACCCGTTACAAAAGAGTGTTGAATAGATGGAGCGTCGGACGGTGACCTGTTTTGTTATAAAAGGTTGCCTGTGTAGCGTCCGGATCTATATTAGATCACTAGTGTACACCATCTCTGGTCGCGCAGTGTGCACGGCTCTTGCTAGTAAGCTGTGGGCGTGGGAATGCCTTTGGGTCGTCGAGTCGATGGGTTTTTATATTTCAAATTGAACTTTAGACAAGAAATTAGCTTCCTCTTATAGAAAAGCAGTGGGGTTACGGGTACACTGAAAGAAAAAGGTATTCGACCAAACCCATCAAAAAGGTTTCGAATGTGCCCAAAAGTCTCGAAATGTGTCAACACGTTTGGAAGCTTTGGGCAACTACGAAACCTTTTTGATAGGTTTGGTCGAATACCTTTTTTTCCGTATATAGGAAAACCATGTCTCCGATTAGACGAAGATAGCCTCTTAGCATCTATTCAGTCTAAGTAGTCTAAATGTACGTCCTTGTATCTTTGCTGTAGCTGTACGAATGCACTCCTGATATTGAAAATATTAACCAAGCACGTACAAATAAAAGGCAATCACAAAGGTTAACATAATGGCATCTAGGAGTCAAGGTGATAGTGCGCCTAGGGGGTATTGGGGGTATTCTACAGGTGAATAATGTAGATGTAAGCAAAATTCAAAACTTAGTTTAACCCGCGATGGTATAATAAAAAAATTTACCCTCAAGTTCTATTTAAATTGCGCTCATATATTCGAGTGGCTTTTCAATGGAAATAGATCCCTACTGACACCTTCCCCCACCCTCACCCTCTCCCTACCTTCAAGATGACAAGTAGTAGCATTTCAAATATCTCCCTTGCACTTTTAATGGTGTATATCTTCACAAGTAGCACTCATCCGTTGGATTCGCTGACCATTTTCTGAAAGTACCAGAAAACTAGTAGATAAACGCTCTCATTTAGATCTCAATCTAATTGACTTCGAACTGAAGTTACTTTTATCCTCATTCTTTCATTTTTTGCTTCGTTCATGTCAGATTACTTTCAAATTACTTGCCCAAAGCCGTAAACAAAGCGAACACTGTTTATAAAAAAAATCACTTTACTTTCCCTTATTTTATCTCCTCGAAGCAATGCAAATAACCGCCTAGTCGTTCGTCGGCCTGTCTCCGCTGAAAAGAAGCCCGCTCTGGAAAAACAATCCATATTCGAAAATGTGAGAACTTTACGTTATAGGTATATCGCCCTCTGCTAAAGGCTCCATTCATCTTTTCATCACCAGGCACCTTAAAAGGCTGCCGGATATGTTCTTGCGAATCGATGATTAACTTCTGTTCGGAACAACATTTGGTAGAGGAAGTATTGTTTTGAGTGGTTAACATAAGATAATGTTTGTGTAATATAACTGTTTGTATGATTGTGATGTTATCAATGTATTGATGTGTATGAATATCCAACAATCCGAAGTTAATCAGCTATTCCGTTTTGTTCTACATATTGCTGCTTCACACACTATCGCCTAAAAAGACTTCCTTGCAAAAAATCGTCCTATGTCTAAAACACAACATAGAATATTTTTATTGAAAAATCTAACAATAGATTCGAGATCTTGCATCCAGATGGTCCTTTCGATCAACCCTTATTCGACAATACAAGAACTAATCGTTAGCTAATTAACTAATTAGTATTTGCGAAAATTAACATAGGATTCGAGATGTTCGAGCTGGATTACGTCATCAGTGGCCGATCTTTGATTTATAATACGCTGCAATCTGATTGGATTATGCAAGCAAACAAACAAACTTTATGTACTTTCATGACTGTACCTTTGACGCTATGGCCCTTTCTTTCAGAAAAGAGAACAAAGGAATGTTTTATAACTGTTCACGGTTGAGCAGTATGATCGTTGTTTTCGATAATAGTAAAACTTCTTTAAAAAGTAGAACAATACAAGCTACGTAACTCTGAAACACAAAATAAACGCGCCCTAACACGCTTAGGCGTGTTTTCAATAGTTGATGCATTAAAACGCGTCTGAAATAAGAAATCCTTTTCCATTCAGGATCGAGTCATTGACAATCATAAGAGGCAAAACAAGACGTCATCTACTTCAATTAGTATTTGAAGTCTGAACTCTCGCTTTTCCTCCCTTCAGTAGAATTCGCATAGGCTAGCATATCGACCTCACCTTTCCAAGAGCTCATTTCTTTCATTCTCAAGAATACTTATGAGAACTTAAACAGATTCGCCTCTATAGAACGACCTCTATGGCTTCAAAATTGACTTCGGATACGATTTGTCAAACGTCGCCGACTTCAATCGTAAGATTTACCCTTCGTAACATAATTCATATTAGCAATGTCCATTATCTAAAGACATTCAATGTGTCAACTTATCGCTGCTTCTCTCATGGAAATAATCTCGACGCATTCTAATGCAAAGACATCGACAGAACGCTTCTATGAAAAGTTATCTGATGACATGTGATTTTAAGATAGGAGATGATTTTATTTCATAGCACGAAAAGAAGAGCCCTGCAGTTTATTGTCCACACGTTCCAGGTTTCTTTCGAAAGTTAAAAGGTGTGGATGACTTGGTGACATTGAATACTTAGCAATTTGAACAGCGCGTTCACAATAGAAGTGAGCTTTTGGATAATCACCCATACTGTAATACACCAAGCCGATGTTGTTGTAGGATGAGGCTATACTAGGATGGTTTGCAGGAAGTGATTGTTGTTCAATTGAAAGAGTTTTCTCATAGTATTCGAGTGCTTTTCGATAATCACCCATACTGTAATACACCGAGCCGATGTTGTTGTACGATGTGGCTATACTAGGATGGTTTGCAGGAAGTGATTGTTCTCGAATTGAAAGAGTTTTCTCATAGTATTCGAGGGCTTTTCGATAATCACCCATATTCTTATACACCAAGCCGATGTTGTTGTAGGATGTGGCTATATTAGGATGGTTTGCAGAAAGTGATTGTTGTCGAATTGAAAGAGTTTTCTCATAATATTCCAGTGCTTTTCGATAATCATCCATACTGTAATACACCGAGCCGATGTTGTTGTAGGATGTGGCTAAATGAGGATGGTTTGCAGGAAGTGATTGTTCTCGAATTGAAAGAGTTTTCTCATAGTATTCGAGGGCTTTTCGATAATCACCCATACTGTCATACACCGAGCCGATGTTGTTATAGGATGTGGCTATACTAGGATGGCTTGCAGGAAGTGATTGTTGTTCAATTGAAAGAGTTTTCTCATAGTATTCGAGTGCTTTTCGATAATCACCCATACTGTCATACACCGAGCCGATGTTGTTGTAGGATGAGGCTAAATGAGGATGGTTTGCGGGAAATGATTTTTCGAGAAGCACAAGTGATTTGGCATTGAATGTTATGGCTTCCTGAAACAAGCCTTGTTCGTATCGGACACGACCAATTTGATGATATATCAATCCTTCATCACTGTCATGTGAGGTTTGGTTGAGTAAAGTATCATAAATCGCTTTAGCCTTGTCATGTTGACCCAGTTGAATCAGCAGGTGACCTAGTCGTGTCCAACCTTTACCATCGAGATGACTCTCGCGACGAATATAATCAGTCAGTGTGCATAACTCTTCGTCGGAATCAAGAGTCAACGAGATATCCACTTCATAAAGTGACCGATCAGTGCCAATGACTTTGATGTGATGAATGCGAAACACAGTATGCATGGAAAACAGCACTTCGTTTTCTTGTAAGAAACGACCACGATTTCCAAGTAAGGCAAACGGTGTCGTTGACTGAGAAGGATCGACCTGTATTGTGAAGAGAATTCCTACTAACTTGGGATTGTCTGCGTTACTTTTCGCATAGGAAAACGAGACGTCACGTTGCATACTGGTAGAGAAGAAGCTATTGAATGACATCAACCCGCCTATCGTGCTTCTTAGTTCTCCAAAATCTGTGTGAGATAGACCTTGTCCGCGATATACTGTAAACACAAGAGAACTCGAAGTTGTGTTAACAAACTGTTCTTTGTGCAACTGTTCAATGTTGCGATGAAGATCAGTGACGAAGAATCCCATTCGAACAAGAACATCACCATCCATGATTCTTAGTGCATTGTTGAGCATGGAATGCATGGAATTACCTCTTGTATACCACCAGATGGGCTCCTTTGCGCGGTAATCACGTACTGATTGCTTAACATCATTGGAATGTGTACCATCGAGAGTGATTAGTCCAGGATGATGCCTGACAAACTCTTCGATGTGTTTGTCTTCGAATTCGATCGTTAACAAGATCTCTTTGAAGAGTTGTGTGTACATGAAAGATGGATTGAGCAGATCCAATCTTTTGCCAGATGGTACAAAACTGATTGGTGTGACAGTGGGCTCATCTTGGAGAAACGTGTTCTGAATGGCTTGGCAGAGTGATGTTATATCAGTGAAAACATCTTTGATCTTGTTCCAATGTCTAGCCCATTGTTCATGATATGATTTGTTTTGACAAAAGATGAAAATCGAGTGTAATGGAGGAATGTCGTGGATACAACGTACAAGATATTGTCCAAGTGCACCAGACACGATTAGATAGACTTGATGGTCATTACAATTGAGTATATATTCGACACATTGATCATTATCCGTGAATGTAGTGACATTGTCAGTAATGTGTTCAAGTTGTGCAATTGTAAACTGACAATCAGCATTGTTATAATCAATCTGATTGTCGAGCCAGATCACAACGACGTCTTGCATCTTTTTAATATCGACCGATCGGCGATTGTCTATTGTATTGAAAGTTCTGATTATAGTTCTCCTAGTTGCTATTGCCTGCACACACTCTGCTTTGATGCTCTGTCGGTTAACTCACAATAAAAAGAGTGACTTCGATGGTAAATTTTTGTGCTCTTTCTTCTTTCTACCGCATTCGCAGAGTTACCTTTTTTATGCATAACAACTGAAGAACGAGAAAAACATGCCTGTAGAGAATGCAATTGCTGCTATGCAAATATTAAAAATATGAAAAGAAAGTGTTTAGTAAAAGACGCAATTTAAGTGAAAGAAGTAAATTGAAACAGCTTCTATTTGCATAATGCGCTTCTGTCTGAAAAAAAGTATCACAGAGAGGTTAAACCTTACCTGCTCGAGATGCTAAAAGTCTATTCATCCTAGTGGATCTAAATGTGTTCGTAACCGTTCAAAAAACGAATGATTATGTGTTGTTATTATCGGGAAACATAAACGCTCTTTCATCTTTTCTTACACCTTGAACCAAATGTGATAAAATGAGCTTTCGCTTTCGTAAATGTATCGTTTGTTGTTAAATCTAATCGGGAAGTAATATTAATGTTGAAAAAGGTCTACTTCGAAGAGATATAAGTCTGAAATTGATTTTGGCCGCTGCATATAAGATCTTTCAATCGAGTTTTAGCAGAAATGGACAAAAAGGAAGCATACAATCGCCATAGACGTCGACTAAGTATGAATAAATCTGTTGATACACAAAGAATTGCTTTACTAGCACATGCTCACTGTGTAACAATTCATAGAATGCCACTCTCTTGTTTCAGCTTTATTTTGAAATATTGTCGATAAACTAATCCACTCGACTCTAGACAATTTTTATCCAATCCTTTTGTTCAACAGTAACCTAATCTATTTGATTGATAAAAACGAAAGACATCTATTCTATATGATATGATTGATCACTCTATCTTCATTTTATTCAAAGTAAAAATACAAATAAAAATAAATGTCGAATACGTGCACAAGTTTAGTTTTTCATCACTTGCTTCATTCGTTGTGTAAGTCTTAATTGTGCATAGATTTTCGATGGATTGAAGACAAATATCTTCATATTTTTTTATTAATCATGTTATATATACAGATGTATGATGCATGCCCCTTACGAAGTCTGTTGGATACAAAACAGCAACAGTTGATTCAGTTGTCGAAGCAGGTGAGATTGGAGTAGCTGTTGTTGTTGTCAACTGTTCAGAATACGTTCACATGATATTCGATGAATATAGGCGAGAGAATCTTACGAGTGTGCTGATCAAGAGGAGAAAGCCAAAACTTGATCTATTTCAGGAAGTAGTTGAAGTCTGAATTCTCGCTTTTTCTCCCTTGGAAAATCTGTTTTTAGTAATGATTTCTTTTCAAAACTTACTTCATTTATTCTACTAAATATTATCTTTCTCTATGTCGAAACTGTTAGCCTACTCGTTCGGCATTACCTTCTGCCAATAGTTATGGTCCTAATTCATGAAAAAGGTTGACAGGTTTTTAATTGGAGAACAAGGTGACACAGGCTGAAGCTGTGGGTATAGGATGCTTTTTTCGGCAAAAAAAAATCAGAAACGTATGGTTGAATGCATCTGAAAGACGCGTCTGGTTGCGTTTATGTCCTGCGTTTCAAACACGTCTATACTAAAAAAGAATTTCACATGGGGAGGACGATTTATGTAGCAGACAACGTGTTAACCTCACCCAACTCGATTAAATTTATATCTGATGAAACAGCTAGTTGAATAATAAATTTCCTACCCAATAATTCAACTTCGATGATAGTTATGCATGATCATAATAAAATGAAATAGTGGAAAGGCTTTATTCCGACAATTAAAGATATTTGTGATATTTCCTGGGTTCGTCCATGAGAAAATGGTGGGATTCTGTGTCATTGACTAATGTAGAATAATCTTTCCTCTCGTGTCATTCACTTTTCTTATCACGTAGAAGACTGATTATAGAGAATATCAAGGACAAGTACTATATGCGAAAGAGGTTTGTTGTGTAAAATAGCATCTGATGATGAGTATATCGCATTTATCAATAATATTTTTCTTCAAATGAATTGTGATTTTTCTATTCGGAACAATTCGACATGCTCTGAATGTTATGCTTTTATCTCAACAACTATTTCATTTCAACTTGTGTGTCCTACTTTTCATTTTTTCGTCGGTGGCGAATTTTATTTCAATCGCATCTGGTCTTACTTGCCGTTTATTCGCTGGATGGTTTGTTGATTCAACCAATATACGGGTCGATGGTTGCTGCCAAACCGGAATATTTATTTTCGTCGAATAAGTACGGTAAAAAATGGCAAATGAAGTATGATTGATGTTTTCATTCTCTCAGTCATTGTATTTCCTCATTTTGTCTATTCTTATGAACCAAACCTAGTCTATGCACCTTTACGATGTTATGGAGTGACACTTACCTGTCGTTTTGTAACCGAGACACTATTTATACTTGGAAATATTTTCATCCGGCTGATATTGATGCTCGTCTTCGGATTGTTGACTATTCGAAATATATGTCAATCGCGAAAATCTGCTCAATCAAACACTATCGTTTTGATGGAAGAACGATCACACAAATTTTTCAGTAGATCTGATTATAACACTGTGAAAGGTCTGCTCGTGTGTGAGTGTCAATCGTAGTACTTGACTGTCAACTACGCACATGATAAATGAACTTTGAAAATGAAGATGAATGACGATTAAAGCGTTGGATTATTGATCAATTGGGCCAATGAAATTTCTTTGCAAAAGGTTTTCTGCTTTAATACTAATCATATCTGATCGAGGCAGGGAAAATTTACTTCCGATTATAAAGCGTTTTTTTCTACGTACATTCCAACAACAGAACGGCACTTTTCCCTAATTTCCTTAGCAACCGATAACAACAAGAAGCGATCATTCGTTGGATTCGCTGACCCCTTTCGGAAAGAATTAGAAGACTTCTAACTTATATAAAACTTTCACGTAGATCTCGATCTAGTCAACTTTGAACAAAACCAACTTTTATGCATGTTCTTTTCTTTGAATCCTTTTCTGCTCTATTCATGTCGAACTACTTTCAATTCATTTGTACAAACATGTAAGCAAAGGAACATCGCTTCTATACATTCACTCGTCGACTCTCTTCCGACCATTTAAACTCAAAAATTAATTGGTTTAAATTCGTTTTATCTCTTCTAAGTCATCGCAACAAACATTTAGTCGTTCGTCAGTCTCCTTCCGGTCAGCCACTCGCGACTAGCCGTTACATGTCCACCTGTCAGAGGAAATATTATTTGAGTGCTTAGTATCGAATGACGTTTATGTAGTATAACTGTTTATATAGTTGTGATTTTATCAGTATGTTGATGAGCATGGAAATCCAAGAATCCGATGTTTATCAATTATTTCGTTTTGTTCTTCATATTGCTGCTTAAAACGGTATCGCCTTAAAAAACCTTTTTTGCAAAACAATTATCCTTTGGCTAAAATAAAAACCGAATGCAAACTTTTTATGAAAAACCTAACACCAGATTCGAGATCCTTGACCCCGGTTACCCTTCGATCAACCCATAACTCGACACTATCCTTGAGTTTTTATGAACTTATCAAATGTTGCAATCTGATTGGATTATAATAAAGTCAACAGCTGAATGCTTAAATTCAAATTTCATATTTGATCGTACTGCGTTGATCTGTGCATTTCTATGCAATTGCAGCTGTCGACATGCTTCCAATATAAGACGTATTGAGTTTTTCCTTTTCTCTCATGCGTCAGCTGTCTATTTGTATGGGCTTGTCCTTATCTCTTCTATATTCATGGGATTATTCTCAATCACGATCCCATGTATAGGTATTTGAGTATGTAGATCTTTACATGTGTGTGTGGTCATTTTCTGCTCTCTTTCATCGCGTTCCTGCTTATGTTTTCACAATAAACACGCAACGCCCTGAAGAGAAAATCTATAGCGAAGAACAATAATATTTTTGAATTGATCACTATTCTAGAGGGAAAAAAGCGGAAGCCGATGAAATTCTGCTGAAAGCATATCTCATCACTAATTCGAAAATCGAAATTAAAAACGAGTGCGCAAAAAGCTTACGACACTCGGTATTCCCAGGCGGTCACCCATCCAAGTACTAACCGAGCCCGACGTTGCTTAACTTCAGTGATCGGACGAGAACTGGTGTATTCAACGTGGTATGGCCGTAAGCATTTCTACATCTAATATTCGTTCCTTTTGATAACACCTCAGTTTTCATTTGATTTTTCTGTCGTCTAGATCTAACGGTTCATGAAGACAAAGTTTTGATAAAACGCTTTTATACTAACAAGTAACGCTCATCCTTCGGATTTGCTGACCCTTTTCTGAAAGACTTTTCCTAATGCTGAACACATTCAGAGACTTCGAAAGAGAAAAAACGCATTGCGATTGCTACTGGTGCTCAACTGAATCATGGTACTATGTCACACACTAGAACTAGAATGAATAGGATACAGATGTCTTTTTAGGAATCAGACCGATTAGTCGTTTGTCAGTGGATAATTCTCCAACACTTACTATGTTGACTGAAAAATTCATCGCTCATAGACAGACGATATACAGTAGACTTCTTGAAAAGTCTGAACATTCGTCACATCCCTTTCAAAGTTATCAGAAGCTTGGCAAGTTCACCGACGGGTATATCACTTTGCAAACTACTTCTACTAAAATCCCATGAAAAGACATGATGTATGTAGCCTGCACAGCAAAGATGATACTAAGCTCATATCACTTTTTCGGATTTCTAGAATTAGAAACATCATTATGTACAATGCATTAGATCTTTTCGTATAAGTTCTTGAGCTACTATCTTTTTGTACGCATGACGTTCATGAATAGCGTTCAGCTCACCATCTTCTACAAAAGACTTTAGAACAGATAAAGAAAAATATCTCCTTTGTAAAGAGGAAGGAACAAGCTCAGGCTCAGCGAATAAGACGAAATTCACCCTTAAATTCGAATTTCCCGACATCAGAAACCTTTCGGTCTACTCTGGCAATGGATGTTAATAAGTCGTGGCTAGTTAATGAAAAACTAATAATGAATTAATCAACACTAACCTCGGATTCGTGATCCTCGACCTCGATTACCCTTCGGTCAACCCTTACTCGACAACGAAAACTTTCATTACTTAATTAGCTAATGAGCTAATTAGAATTTCGAGAAGCTAACCTCAGATTCACGTTCCCCGACCTCGATTACCCTACCGGTAATCATTTTCTAGCAACTATCGATCAATTTCATTGATTTTAGAAATGCTGATTTCTGATTGGATATGACAGACAGACAAACTTTAAGCTTTTTAACACAGCATTTAAACGCTGTATAACCCTTTCTTTCAGAAAAGGGGAAAATACCACGAATATGGTAAAACCAAGAAAAGAGGAATTAATTGTACAGATAGTTCAACGATTGAATAATTAACAGTGATGATATGGTTAACATTTCGGAGTTAAAGCATTATATTCCTCAATTAGCACGGCATTGCATTTGCTGAAGCTTTAGCCTATGGGAGAGATATCATAGAATAAAAGCGATCAAAATGTAAGGAATATTGATTTGTCGGCGTCGATGTGTATTATGATTTTCTAAAAGGAAAAGTGCAGCTTCGTTTTTTTGTGTATAATATCAAGTTATAAATTTTATTTCAAAAGGAAACCTAGCGAAAATTTTAATTTTTTTCCTATAAAATAAAAGTCTTATTCATCCATATTTTTCGGACACATTGATCTTGGTGTATGGAACAAGGTATAACAATCATTGTTTGATAAAATGGAATTTGATTTCTTAATTTTTGAAATTTATTATTCATTTCATTACTTGTTAATTGACAATAATAATCAATTGAACAAATGAATTTTTTTAATTGTAAAAATTTTTCCAAAAGAATAGTTTTTAAATAAATATAATCCTGAATTTGAATTAAATTTGTAAGAATTAAAGTAAATTGTTGAACATACGGAACAAATGATATAAGACAATTAAGAATATGTAATTGAGAAAGTTTCTCTACAAATTCAATTTTCAATATTCGTAAATTTTCATGAGAAAAATTTGTTAAATTATGAGAATAAATTGTTGAAACATCACATATACAAATATTTAATTGAATTAAATTCGGTAAAAATGATAAAAGAATAATGAAATCTTTTATTTGACAATTTGTTAAAATTAATCGACGAAGTGTTGCTAAATTTTGAAAACAGTTCAATGTTACATTGAAATTGATTTGAAATAAATTACAAAAATCAAGTTTTGTAAATTGATTTTCACCAAATAATGATTGACATAAATATTTTTGATCTTTTTCAATTAAAATTCCAAGCCATAGACGACGAAGTTTTGGCATTTGAATCGAATTAATTGATAATAATTGACGAGTTGTTGGAAGATAAATAATTAATGAATGAAGATTTGGAAATATATTCAAATTTAATGATGGATATCGATCAACATGAATATATTGAATTTGTTTTGCAAAGAAATGAAGTGCTGAAAGTAAATTTGGATTATTTGAATCATTTTGATGAATATCAACACCTAATTGAAGAGAACGTAAAAGAAAATTGAATCGATAATTCAAATTTGTGAATGTATTGAATAAATCAATTAATGGAATATATTGAAAGATTTCAAGAAGAATTTCATCTGGAAATAATTCGAATCGACTTAAAAGAAAGTATTTGCGATTTTTATCAATAAGATTTGGATAAATATATTTTGAATGATGTGTCTTTCGATGTACACAACTTGTTAATTTACTCAATAAATGTGGCATGAAATACAAATCTAAAAATGAACAAAGTCACGTGAAACATCTCTTTTTTCGTTTCTTCATTATATCAAATGATAAATATTCATTTGCTTTTTCTTATCTATTCAAATGAAAGATTCTTTCATCATTACTTGACATTTCTTTGTCTTTAACATCACGAAATATCTTAACATTCCATGTGAATTTATTTCTTATCGATTCAGATATTCAATAATGAAAAGAAAAAGAATTTAAGCTTTTCAAAAGAATTTCAACACAAATATTTTACCTTTTCATTCAAATAAAAAAACACGAATGTTGAAATTTTCATTGAATTTCTAGATGACAGAGTCATCTACGTTTTACATTTTTCTTGTCAGAATGATTTCTCGAGTTTATTTCAAAATTGAACAAAGAACAAAAATCTTGTTGAAAACGAAAAATTAAAATATTTCAATGATCATCAAATAAATCTTTATTTTATTGGTCAATAATATGACTCCGAACAAGAACAGAAGATCACAGTATCTAGACTAGTTCTTATTTACCATTGAACAAATTAAAGATCACGATGAAAACTATAAACATTCGAAATGCAAGTTTTTATTGTATTTATACTCGAAATCATAGTGAGAGTGGAACATTTCAAGGAATAATCGATGATCTATCACGGTTAGTTGACAATTTCATTAAATTACCTTTAA